GAAAAATAAAGCAACAGTGACGTGGTTGCTAGAATACAGTACCAGAGATCAAGAGAATTTTTGGTTACTATTTAAACGTCAACTACTCATTTCATTTGTTTGTTCAAAACGATTTTTGAAGATAGTTTGACCCGCATCATTTGCTTTATTTGGCATAAGCCCGAAAGCAAGAATTGGGAAGGAAATTGTTTTTCGAGCAAACTTCTAATGCAATCAATGACAAAAAAGCCATTTCTCCATACTTTTTATTAGTGGTCCGCAACCCACGGAATAATGTGGAAATTTGAAGAGATAGGATTGAGTTAAGCATTACTGGCATGAAGTAAACCGTTAACACTGAATTAATTTTTGAACAATCCAATATATATGATGCGGCGATATTCAAAACGAAAATTTAGCCGAATTGAAATCATAAGAACGATGTTTCATTCCTGGATATGCAAATGTTAGAGGAAAATGGAGATGATGTTTTCTTAATGTGAAGTAACTTTTGTGAACAAGTAACAACTGTTTCACATAGTGGTCATTTCTTATTTAGAAAGAAATGTGAAATAACGTTTGAGCTCTTCAAAATCTGAATTACTAACAATGTAACTAACAAATTTACAACATGACCTTCGAAACAAACACTGCTACCGTCAAACCACTCATTTAATTTTCGTTTTCATACGAAGTCTACGTTACCATTGTCTGCTAGTTTTTCCTAGTTCAGTGTATCTAAAAATGTGAGATGCGCTTGAATATTTGTCAAATTCCCACAGAAATATATCTGCTCTATGGTGGCCTCATTTAAACACCTCGTGAATTACCAGAATGTCTTTCAGTATCTACTTTATATTTACTCATATATTCCTAACACCTTATCATATCTACTCCCCTAACACCAATGCATATAAAAAAGCAAACTAAATGCGAAAACGGCTGATTTTATTGTCACCAGCGCAGAAACGTGCATTCATTCTAAACTACTACTTCTCTCTTTACTTCCTTTTATAACTTAATTGTCCATACATTTAAGGAATAGATGCTTCAGAGGAGTGCCGATTTGATAGAGTAGTATAGAAACATCAAAACATGATAAAAAGGGAGAAATTTCGCAGCCTTTCACTCCAAGTTGTTCATGTATCTTTAATAAGATGGCTTGACAAATCACCATAAATGTTGTCGAGATAACATGTTTGAGTAATTAGTTGTATAGCTGCTTCTACTGATTTGAAATGTTTGAGTTATGTATGGTGGAAAAAATATCGAATTAAGCTTTCTTCGCGGATACTTAGCATGCAACAACAGTGTTCTTCTTCAACTTTTACATAGCATCTACACCTCAAATCTAACTCGGAGTTTAATCCTCATTAAACAATCGATTTCTGTCGATTAGTTCTTAAAAGGTCATATGGAGATTGTTAATGTGGAAAACTATTTAAAGTGAGTTTACTAAGAATGCGACTCCTTAAGATAAAGGTTAGACTGCGAAGCGAACTAATTAGTTGTTTGAAGGTTAAATGTTTTTTCTAATGATATACAGTATATATGCTTCGATAAGGCTTCATAGCCATTTTCGAATGATAAGTGGTACAATGTAAATATAGTTGGTGATTTTATTTATACCAATAATACAGTAGCCGCCGAATTGTCATATTATAAGCTCATTTCGTAAGGTCGGAAATTTGGAATAGCATTGTGGATCATCACAAGTATCTAAATCAATTCGGCAATTGTACTTGGTATAAATAAAATCAACCATATTTAGCCAAGCTGAGATAAAATTAGCCGATATACATACTACGACATGACATATAGCGAGAAGGCAATGAAATTTCATGGTGAAGATGTTATTGGAAATAGACTAAAGTAAATCCATGTTTTGTACAGAATTCATTTCAACCACCATTAAAATTTTCACAACATGTCTATATAAAAGAATTTGACTCAAATGCCGGTACTCTTAAACCACTGTTAACTTGATTTTATAAGCAAAATACATATGGAATATTAAAAATAGTTTGATGGCCAGTGCGGTAACTCTCTTCCAGGAACACATCCGGCTTGTAGTGGTCATTATTGGAAACCAAACCTCCGAAAAGATCTATTTCAAAAGAGTATGCAATACCAATACAAATGCATTGCATATTCAATAAAACAACTTTACATTTGGCATGTTAAGTTAACAAAGGGAATGACGAAAGTGATAACAAATGTTGCTTTTCAGAAGGCGCAAATAAAACTTAACCACTAGCATTAGGCATTAGGTAATAGACAGCGGGCGCTGGAATTTAGAATGGAATTAGAGGAGCAAATAGACTTTCGCCAATATGTCAATCAGTCATTTAGGGGAGGGTGTAGGGTAATGGGTATCATTATTACTACTACTGTTGTTAGTATTGCTTCAGTACTCCTATTTAAATTGTTGTTAACATATGAATGATTGTAAATACGGTTTAGAAATAAAGTTCACATGTGCTGTTTGTGCTTCAATGACAAGGGTAGGAAATCATGAATGCGATGAGATCCGAAATGCTTGACAAGCAATCACTTGAAAAATGATATGAAGTTTGAGGGATGTAAAAAAATTAATTAAATAAGGATAGTGCGATAGGGATTTTATCTTCGCAGATTACTTGATTTCTGATTTATATCCTCGAGACTTGAAATTTTAAAGTGAACCACTTCTAAGTGACAAATGAACATAGGGACATCATGAAAATAAAGACGTATTTATGTTATGCATTGATCAATTGCGGAAAGAATACCTCGTTACCTATTAACAAAAAAACCCTGGGGCATGTGAAAAATTGAGGGATCTCACACGTTAGAAGTTCAAATCCTGAGGTATGAAGTTTTTTTCCAATCCTGTTTCCTCGATCCTTTTTTTGAATGAATCTGTGCTGCTGTTTTCATAACTCTCCTAACTGAATTACAATTTTAAGATCAGACTGTCAGCATTTAAAGCTGTATGGTTCATTTTTTGGCATGAAAAAGTAGTAAATAACCGATTTTCGGTTTTCAACGAAGAGATGTGCGCTTTTTACATTCTCTTCATAAATGTCTAACATTCGATATTTAAATGCTCAGGTGATCTAGAAATCTGATGTCTCATAAACAAGAAACCTTGTCAGTGAAAGAAAGCACTTGAAAGTGCTGCATCCTCATCTCATAATTTTCTAAAAAAAGTATGTTAGATTTTCTCCCAACCACATGTACAATACCTTTATGTTATGTTTACGGAAAAGCTGAAGTCTTTAATTTTACAGTCAAAAAGTTCTAATGTTTGGATAGTTATCGATCCGAAAATTTCGTATAGGATAACGGTAGACTTTATCAAACCTCTATATTTTTTTTCTTTTTACCATTCCCTGCTTTACACACTCAGGTTTTCTCATCGCCTTCAACCCAGTCTAATTCAGGCACTTATAGCTCGATTATAAGATAAGAAAAAAAAACTTAGCATCTTTCACTTCCGCTCATTCTTTGCCTCTTTCGTGTCAAAGAATTTCTTCTATCTATACTGTCATTAGAATCGAATATGATGCATCACAAGTAGCGCAAATTTAGGATAATTACGATGTGAGGCACTAAACCAAGATTCATATATAATCATATTAGGTAGGTCTGAACGCCGATTTGAAGGACATAACTATTTCCTAGTCAATGATGTAGGGAAAAATTTGAAATGTGAACTGAATTCCGTCTATTGGCTGTATTTGTGTATGATTGTTTGAAGGTGTGACTCATATATACCCGTTATGATGGGAAATTTTTAGGGAGTTCTAACTGAGTGCCAGCATGAATGTTATTCTTCTCTTTTCTCACTTCTCACTGTTTTGCAAACTGAATTTAAATAAACTAATAGTTTCAACTCTGGGATTAAATATGAGTGATTGAGAAAGTCGATTGGTAACTCATATATATTTAGCACGCAACACTCAACACATAAAAACACTACAGCAATAGCTAGAATCAAAGTGACGAATTTGCATAGTGAATAAAACTGAAATGCCTTAACTGGACTATTACTTTATAAGAAAAATTGAAAATGTGGTAAAGGAAGCTGAAATCGTGCATTCGTCTTGAACAAGTGTTTAATTTCTTGTCCACGTTTCAATTACAAAAATGAAAAATTTTCATAGGGATATAACAGGTATTAAATTAAACAGATGAGAAAAGATACGCCGTTGCTAATCTCCAGAAATAATTATTTTCCATTTGATGCAAGTCACACAAGAAGTCAGCTTGAGTGGCCTAATAGTAAAATCAAAATGATGTTTACAAGGACTTTAACAATTTCGTGTAGGAAGGAAACAATTTTGCAGCAAACCTGTTCTCATAATATAATTTCATGGAAAGTGGAAAAGAATAGAATGTATAAAGGGAGACTCTTGGACTGTTGTCACGCTTGTGCGCAAAAAGAAATTCCGACTAAGTTAAAGAGATCGTAAAATCACTTTTTTATCCTGAGATGGAGATGGATTTAGGTCAACCAGCAATCGTGGTTCGGACTCGGTAAAAAGATTGGAGGGCTAAAAAGAGACGGAGAAAGGGACAGAAGTGCTCTGACTGTGAAATTGAGTAGAAAGGAGGGGAAGGCAGAATTGCAGAGGACTCTTCATCAAAGTTTTTGAAGCGCAACAAGTGAATTGCATCTATGGTACATTACAGTACCAGAAGGGTCTGGAGCAGTGATAATTTTTCTCCATCGCCCTACCCTTTCCTTCTAATACTCTTCGTATTACTCATCACTATGTTTTTAGCTTCTGACATAAACTATGTTCTACGGACTATGATAATAGTACACATTGAGAGGGATATGACGACGCATTATGACAACACATCGTTGTCCCAGGGCACTTGGAGTTAACTCTTAGTCACCTGCTGGTATGAACAATAAAATCAAATTTCATTTTCCACGGAGATGAGATATAAGTAGTATAATGAGTTTTGTATGTGATATGAGATGGATCACAATATTCAGCTAGTATGAGCGCTCTTACCGTAATAAAGCATCATTGCTTGGTACCACTCTTCGAATGGGGCAACGTTGCAACATTCTTAAGCGTGTCATCATTATGGTCACCCCATCCTTGTGCTGGCTTCTTTGTTGAACTAAAACTTTTTTCATATTACAACATATTTCAAAATAAGTGCATTTGCTTACAATTTATGATGTTGGAAGTAGCGTCACTAAGAAATATATTTAATTACGCGATGGTGTAAAAATGATATCCACAAAATGGTATGCTTCAAACACCGATGTATGAAAACACAATAGTGAAAGACAGTGGGTAATATATATGATGTTTATGTGCATATGTGCCACCAGTATCATCACCAATGTCACAAAACAGCGCATTAAAGGAGGCATGAACTGTTCAAGAATATAATCCGAAATGTTATAGGCCATAAAATTTCATATTTTGATTTAGTTATAGCTGGCTAGCATTCCCTGTTTAACCAGGCTGTGATTTACGGAAGCTTACGTCGCTTAGCCGTGGGAAAGTCTTTTATGCGTAATTTCGATTAGATTAGATACGTAACGCCACTGCAATAATATGTTGCAAAATAATGAGAACTTCTGCATAACATTCAATTAGTGTATTAATATTGTCACCCCTTAGAAGCTACAAAAAAATCAAAAAAATTTAACAATAAGTAAAATATACCGTTGTGGAACATTGCCAATATTAGGTATGTCGGCATCTTTAACCAACGTATAATTGCTTTTCTTTCGCGTCACACATCCTGACAGTATCATTACTGCCGCCTAAAGCTGACAATGTACATTGTAAGAACGTTTCACTTCAAACAAAGTATGAGATTTTATCACCATGTTAGACGGTGAATCGCTTTAACGAATCGGCATATATTTTGGAAAAATTTAAGAAAGCAAATCCTGTATTTAAAAGTTACTTCCAATTTTAAAAGTTACTTTCCAATTTTCCATTATGGAAGATTTTTTTTTTTCAACTGTAATATGCACTCGGTGCATATTGGAGCAAATTGACAATGTAGGACACAAGCAACAAAATCGGGAATCCAAAGGTCCTACACAATAAACATTCGGAAAAAGAAGCAATGCAATTCTAGTTGCAAAGAACTCGCTGTAAAAGCAAATGGCATGTAGCAGTGAGACGTGACACTCAGTGTGCTGAAATTCTTGGCAACAGAATATAATATCGAACAGTAACGTAGTGTGGTAGAATTCCAATGATCTGTGGTGTAAAGAACCCGCATAAAATACATCATTGCAACAATTAATGAGCCTAAAATGAAGTGGACAGTGAAATAAGATCTTCAGAGCAAGTAAAACACAGTGAACGAAAATATGGAATGATTGTAACGTTCGATGGTGAAGATGATAGGGCGTAGTGTGAATATAGATAGCAGGAAAGATATTTTTTGAGAGAATATGAACTATGACACTGCTGATGAAGATTGAAAGGGACAGCTTGGGTCGATCCATTGCTTATTATGCTTCAGTGGTACTTTTATACATCAGTGACCATGAAAAAAGGGTGTAGTTCGTACAGAATAATACTGATTGATAAAATATGTAATACAACCAGCACATATCTCCAACCATTCATGAAGTAAGGTTCGTGAACAATGAACATTTACTTTACAACCACGCATGTAATGTAATTTCCAACTTCCAATTCAACATTTCAAATTCAATTTCCTCACTTACGTAAGTCACAATAACAACAATAACTGTCACAATAACAACAAATTTTGCTGAAATTTAGTACTGCATTTGTAAAGTCATAGCATGCAGAAATGATAAGCAAGCCCTAATACCGAAGATTGCATCATCGAATTGAATCTCGCGGTTTACCTGTAAACGTTTGATGAAACGAGCAGAAAATTAAACTTCGCTTTTTCGCAACATGATTTATTTCAGTGAAGTGCAAAATGCACATCTTCTGTCGCTGCCATCTTAACATTTTACCCACAGCAGTTTAACTATGGAAGGTGCACGCCTTTTAGAGAGATCCCGCTAGCATAAGTCAGATATGATTTATACAAACAATAAATTCAGAAGTACTAGTTGTCGACGAATAAATTAAGGTCGGAAGTTTATTGTCCTTAACCTTTAAAGTTTCATCACTACCGAGATCAGCAAAATAGAGAAAATTATATCGATCGAACGAAGTTTCAGAAACCCATACCGTAAATTTGAAATAGCATGTCAAGTGTCCAAACTTGGAAATAATCGAACAAAAAACCTTTTATCGATTTTGTAATTCTAATCTACACATAATCTGCACAGATGGCCAGTAGCTAAGCGGCAGTTTAATGGTCACGAAAATGTGGTGGCAGTTTCCCTTAACAGCCAACTTCCCATATTCTTAATAAGCTTCTAGTCGTTTTGTATAAAACTATTGCCTGAAAACACTTTATTCGCACTTTATTTTTATCTCACCATCGCAATGTGTGCCAGAATGATAACGAAATACCAATTCAGCAGAAGAAATGATGTCTATAACTCAATACAACAGCCAGTATTAGGTAAGTAAGCATTGATGCGGTAGCACGCACTGTCCCAATAAAAGCGAAATTTATTTTCCTAAAGCAAAAGATGAAGGAGATCTCGGCCTACATGAACATCATCGAACCCATTGCTTCTTGAACACGAGAGATGATTGATCTTCACAGTTCCCAATGACTTGCATTCCTGAAATCGTTCCGCTGCAAATAAGTACTTCTCTAATCGTCTTCTTGAAACCGTCAATCGGAAGTAGGAATAGGAAGTCCATGAAGATGTGGACCTCTAAACATTAACTCGCGCTGTGAAATAATATCTACAAGGCTAAACTCTTTCCTTATCAACAATCCATAAACATACAATTATGAAGAGCGATTCCACATAATCCACTGTACTTAAAAATTATTCCTGATGCAACATACCTTCACACCGCAACAAAAACGCATTTTATAGAACGTACCTAATTAACAACTTGCACAGTTTCGACGACAAAGAATAAACATTAAATATAAATAAGTCGAAATCGAAATTAGAATTTCTAACAAATATAAAGGAAATGATCAAGTATATACCGCTACATCAAGAAGTCAGAACAAAATTTTGAATTCTTTCAATAACAACAAGACCACAGCATGTGATATAAAATATCATTTAGCGTAGCGATGTGAAACAATAAAACATATTTAGTAAGAGCTTGCTGAAATATTCCCTCAGCGCTCAAAGACCTTATAAAAATGAAGAGGCTTGAGGAAAAGTAGGAAAACTCCAACAATACATTTTACAATCAATAACATACATGCTTTTTTGATTTCAAATGTCCGTCCATACAATGAATGAGGTCGAATAATTAACAGCAGAGTACTGGATCAGATAACGTTAGCGCAACAAATGGGAACGTGCACAAGTCAGGGTGAGTGGGAATGACTTCCACTATTACTGTATGATGGACTATATTGCGGTGAACCTCGAGAAGCACGACCAACCGGTGATCTGGAACGAGAATGAGCATGCGACTCCCCATTATCTTCTTTTACTCGAATGTAAGAAGTTTCACCCTGAAAATTCTCCTGTCGTTTTGTCTAAAATTATCGAAAAATAACCGTGTACCAAAAAAAACAATGAAAATGTAGGCTGAAGACGAATATGCATACCTCATGTGATTTGAACTTCGTGTCATCAAGTTTACGTAAAGCGTATTTCATATCTTCATAACGACCATATTCCACAATACCAGTGCCATCCCGTAGCACATCCGTATAGCAAACATCACCTGCTTCACGCATATGGTCTTTTAAATCCTGCCACGAACCTACGAAAACACAACACCTACACAATGTAAGTGATAAGCTTATATTCCAGCATCAAAACTAAAAGGATACTGTATAAAACGAGCCTGATCTAACTATTTTGTGGAATGAATAATAAAACGGACAGAGAAGTTGCACTCAGTATGTTAATCAATTACTGGCTTAGATGAATCTCTTAAATAATTTATAGATTTAAGAGAGTAGAAAGCATACCTGAGATGAATAAGTGTATATTAAGCACTGCTAAGAGAAATGTATTTATCAAGTCAACTGGTTCTTTTACTTAAAGCTTTTTGTGGAAGAAAACATGATAACTTCCAGATGAAACAAACCTGAAGCCGGCAAACCCGAAACTATAACACGATAGTTTGCTCGACGACCTCCACTGGAACTGCTACCTCCACCAGTGTTTCGCGAGAAGGATAAGTTTCTCCCAGCGTCATACGGCCCTCCTCCGGGTCCTCTAGGTCCTAAACCGCGCGGAAATTCTACCCGCAAGCGATACCCCTCATAATCATAACCATCACGACCGCGAACAGCATCTTCTGCATCCCTGAAAGCAATACTGTAAGAATGAAAATGTACAGCTTTAAAGAGATATGAAAATAATGTCGCAACAAATGAATGCAGTTTTAATATACCATTGTAAGCATAGAGCAGTTCAACTCAAATTACTAAAGTGAACAAAAGAATGTCAAAAAAATGACACAGACCTTGCATCTTCGAACTCCACAAAAGCAAAATACGGCTGCCGCCGATCTTTCAAGTCGACGTACAGGACTCTGCCATATTTGCTGAAGATATCTTCCACATCCTTTGCTCTAACAGTTGTTGGTAGATTTCCAACGTAAATGCGGCTTTCTCGTGACATTTATCCTTAATTTGAAAGCCTAAGAATGCATCAACAAGGCTAAGGGAGCAGCATTAAGCTTATTTCTATAATTAGCATGAAGAAGAAAAAAATTTCCGCAGTGTCGATAATAGTATTTAACAACACTACGAATTGTTCTACATTTCATTACGCAACGGTATTTTGGGATAAGCTAAGTCTTGTCAGAACTGGCAACGTCAATGTTGTGTCATCAGCAACCGAAGTGAAAGGAGAACTAGTCAACAACCAAAAGAGTTATTTAAACTGTCACAACACAATCATGAACAACGCGGCCCATTCATATTTTATGCCCAAGTCTCGCTGGACGACTATGATGCTCCTGAGTTGCTGTGACTAATCAGATCGCAATGAAATTTCAACGTGTCTTGCATTGCGCTAGGGAAATAATCGGCGGCTTACGCCCCTTTTTTCCAACGGCCTGGACATTAACGTATATAGAGGGGAACTGCATCATTAACTATAACCTTCCGGAAATCGGCTATCAAGCGTAGATTATATGTATGATTGCTAAAATTTATGAAATTTCTGGATTACTCACAAATTCTCGACCGAATAACATGAACATGCATAACGAAACTCCACTTCCTTTCTTCCATAGTGAAATATTTATTTATTCATTTACAAGTTCCTGTGAAGAGAAATGTATGATTTTGTTTTCGTGATATTATATTGCTATTCATTTGACACAAACGACGTGTATGACATCAGTGAACAGTTCCTCACAATCCAATAATGCATCTAATTATAAAAAAGCTGCTACTCAACACATGCTTACAGTATCTTAATAACTTGTTTCAACTACTTTTTGTTATGCCGACCGTTTTGTCTCAATGAAGCATAATCCACGGCTTATTTCCGGAATCAACTAAATATTTATCATATAAAAAAGACACAAATTGACAAATTATGACAGCAATATTTAAAGGATACTGAGTTCATCTGTAGCTTTGTTGTATTTATCTGCTTGATCCAAATATCGTTTCAAATTATCTGCTGCAAATAGCATCTCCTGAAAATGAGAATCCTTCGACAGCCGTCATCCCATCTCTCTGCACAGCACTTCCCTGCATTAGCAACTTCTTTTCCATTCCCAGAAATCCTATTATAGCTTAAAATCTTTTAATAAATTCTAAAATTACTTGTGATGATCTTTGCTTGTTAGCGATTGCTTTATAGAACGCTTGCAATGATTCAGCCGATTTCTTCAATTCTTTTTGCTTCGCTTTAAATATGGCATAATTTAAACGTATTTGAGCACTATTATTTTTGTCAAGTTGAAGTGCTCTATCATAGGCTTTGTTTGCATTGAGCATATCATCAAGATTCGTTAATACGACTGAAAGTACTCCTTTCTGCACTAAGCATAAGGGTCTTAGACGATAGGATTTTAGTCTGATATACTTTCTAAAATTGTATATATTTTGGACAATTTTTTTCGGAAGATAATATCAGTTAGTTATTCATTTTTTCGAAATTTTTAGAAAAAAAATAGAAAAACTATTTATGAACATCCTTTGAATACACTTTTTCTTATCATCAAATCTCTGGTTGAAATGAAGAAGTAGAACCTGCTAATGCCATGTAAGGCATTGTAGAACGAGTATTTAAATTGACGGCTGATGATAAAAAATGATAGGCAGATGCGTACTGCTCCATAGCATTATGCACTATGCCAAGATTGTAGCAAATTTTCCATTCAAGCGGGCACAAATAATTAGCCTTCAGGAGAAAAAAACAAACGAATATAATTAAGTGCATTGATAAATTACAGCTAGCAAATTTGTTAAACATTTAAAAAGTCACCTTCTTCAAACAACTTATAGCTGCAACACATTTGCCTTTACCAAAGAAACACATGCCAATATTATTCCACAATGGTCCGTTATATTCGCACTTCTCGGCAGCTATTCTATAGGCAAATAAATATTAATTCAAGGAATAGAAAAGATGTATGCACACTCGTTTATTCATTTATCCATTTATAGTTTGGAGTAAAAAAGAAGTAGCTTATTTATTTAGATCAGTCTGTAACTTTTCTTTAAATTCTTTATATTTCTTAATTGCTTGTTAAGTAGAGAAGCTATAGCTAACCTGTACTTTGTTAGAGCGACATCGTGCTCACCATTGGTTTGTATGATAGAACCAGCGGCAAGAATACTTTGTGGATGTGTGGGATCATAGCTGAGGGCTTTACCAAAGGCATCAAATGCTTGGTCATCATTTTGCCACCTTGCATGAAGCAGTCCCATATTTGTAAGAACATCAAGATTCTCTGGTTCCAACTACAATCGTTACTTCAGAAATCTCAGCTGACTTCTCGTTATAATCAGTATTATTATAATTAATATAAAGATGATGTTAGGAATGTCTGTTTAATACCTTCAATGGTTTACTCATGAAGAGGAATTGTTATTGTTAATTACCTTGTACACTTCATTTCACGAAAACCTTTAAAAGAATCTGTTTCTGTTTCCCTTTGGAAATCTACGGACTTTCAATTTCTGGAAACCCATCTGCTAGAAATTCTTTGTTCATTGGTGCAAATTCACACTAATATTTCAATACAGTTTATATCGGTTGTCACTTATTAGTTTCATGACTTACTTCCAATGCTTTCTTTTGCGCGTCAATTGCTAGTTTTATGTCATTACGTTGCTCAGATAATCTTGCTAGGAACGTCAAAATTTCAACATGTCGTGCAGCTGTTGGAGCTGTGAGTAAACATTCTTGCGCCTGAAAAGTTGATCAGAGAAGATCTAAAATAAATATGAAATCGAAATAAGTAAAGATGAAATAGAGTGAGTAGTTGAATATAAAAATAGTCTTATCAAGTTTTAAGCAACAGCAAAAATAGAGGAAAATTTGGTATACTTTAAGTGCAGATTCAGAATCCTGTTTGATGTGATATAGTGCCATTGCTCGCCAATAATACGATTTCTAGAATTAAGTATCATTTTTTAATCACTCAATGTGAACCAAAGTAACTGCTGAAATGCAAACTTGAAAAAAACGTTCTAGTTTCCTAAATGGCAAATCTGAACTTACCCAATCTTTTTCATTCAGTTTGATTGCATCCAGCAAAACTTCTGATGCCTTACCATGGCTTCCAAGTAAGAAATATAAACAGCCAATTTCACGCATACAAACACTATTTAAGGGGTTCACTAATTGCGCCTTCTCATACCTTTAAATTCAAATCAATGTTGGAGTTTCGAAGAGTAATAAGGGACATGAAAAATTTTGGTAAAAGAGTTCATAAAGTTTTAAATGAGCATACAAATAATAAGTGCTACAATAACTGACCATATTAAAGCTTCACGAAAATTTCCTTCAATTCGAGCTATTTTACCTCTGATGCAAAACGGATATTCGCACATTTCGCTGTATTCGTCTGACATCTCCTTTAATTAATTTTTAGCTATAATTTTAGGGCAAATAATTCAAGTACCAATTCACTTCAAAAATAGTGGGAGTTGTTCAATTTGAATGATTCTCTACATAATCACTAAAACACGGTAACCTTTATTAAGGCTTTGCACGCAATAAAATCTCTGCGAATGAAGCGCTGATGAAGAATGAAATTCCTGCGATCGAAACCCTGAAGTTCTCTTTTTTTATTTTTTTCTGCAACTTTTCCTCTTTTCATATTGAACATATCATTGTCACGTTCCGCACTATCCTGAAGTGCATCCAAATTACTTCCCCGCGAAGTGAGTTTATTTTTAACGCTGATATTCTTAGAATTGATAGAGTCACCTCCATCGTTATAACCATTTTCTTCTCCATCATCAGACATTTAATGTTTCTGAAACTAACAAAAGTAAAAAGAAAATATCCGATATAAGAAAGCCACAAAAATTTCTTGAAATTTCAGATAGTAAGCGTGATATTGAATCTAAACTAAAATTACAATTTCTTTTAAGAATGTGCTTACCTACTTAATCAAAAGAAAAAAACTTTTTACCCTATTGTCTTTTTTGAGCATATTTGTTGCTAGCAAAATTTTAAAATTATTTTCCCATACTGACACACTTGTGCTGCAAATTTTCATGCTATTTTAAAATCACTAGTAAATGAGCCGACTTAGAATCATGAAGATGTGATGAGTAAGATCGATGGTAAATTGTATTGGTAAATTTAAAAGATCCGCTGCATTTTGCAAATATATTGATAAAAAATTTAGAAACCAAAAGAGTCCAAAACAGAATTATGTATTTCAGGATAAATGGGCTAGCAAGAAAGATACGACTAATGTGAAAAGCATATTGACATTTTCTTCACAGTCAATTGTAATGATTGTACGTTACAATCTTTTCATGCTAACATCTTTGATAAAAAAAAAAGATAAATGAACTTTCATCATATATGTATACAAATCCTCATTTAATTTGCATACTTAGAAGTAGAAGAAATGAATTTAGCATGCTTAAGGTACCAAATGTGGTGCAATGGTGTTACCATGGATACTAGGCCATTCTAGGCAAGCATACACTGTCCAAAGGTTCAAGCGGGTTGAAAACAAAAAGGCCTGAACGTTAATAAGCTGAAGTTGGGTGGTTCGAAACATCGATAATTCATTGGTAAGCGATTAAATGGTTAGCTGAATGATACTGTAGCAGATCAAGCAATACATAGTCGGTTTTTTCTGTAACCAACTAAGCCTTTTTAAAGGTGCTACTCGTATAGTTGAATTAAGAGTTGGTATATAAGAAAGGCTTGATAAGCCTGTTCAAACTATTGAAATCTAAAATGGGATGGAAAACTCTGGAGAGAAGAAGGGAAGAATTTCATCTTCCACTATGTTATACCATACAGAATATACTTTATAAAGCAATTGGTCAATTTTATCAGATACCTTTCATTACAATCGGCATTTCTGCGCCACAATACTTCAGTCTCATATCACCTCACCTTGAAAAAGACCAACTTAATTCAGTGATTTTCATACCGACCAAGTTATATTTAGTCACTAAATGGCCATCAGTTTTGGCTGAGTGTTATTGGTGGTGTTGTGAAGGGGGGGGAGGGGGGTTCGATGTTCTGTCGGAGATTGCCATTAAACATTTGGGTCCTAATGAATTGTTTTATATCAAGCATGATATAATTCGTTAGGGACCAAATGTGTTGTAAGATTGTCTTTTACGAGGAAATAAGGAAATTAAAATGACATTTTAAGATTAATAGGATGGATTAATAGGAATTAGCTTTTTTATCACTAATCATAAGTATTCAGTAACTATGGGAAAATTTCAATCCATTTAAAATAATGCGGACTTTTCATTGTGGCTTACAAAGAACATGTATGCAGTGTCATGTGGCACTGTGTGTTTGAAAAGAAAAGAAAGGATAGCATTCTTTTTCTTTCAGAAAGTAACTTCAAGCGAACTACAAAACAGTTGATAGATGGTGCCAGAGTCCTGCGGCATCACGGTTATTGACTTAGAAAGCAGCGCAGTTAAGTTTCCTGTGAGTTTTCTGGCGCATTTCTGATGTACTCTTTTCTTGACTCCTCGAACATTAATTAATTTGTTGTTACAGCAAGAAAATACAGTTAAATGCAAAAATGGTCATTTGCTGTTAATTGGAAAACCGTATTTCCGTCCAAAGGTAATGTGATTGCATCTGTTTTCCATTTTTTTTTTATTTGCTGAAAGAGCCTAATGAACTTACTTACTTAAAGAGCCTAATGGACTTAAAGAGCCTAATGAACGACTAAAGATAGGAAGTTGGTTTTTCCAGGATTCCGATGAACTGTTAGATTGCATTTTAAAAAAAATGATAGTAAGAGCTGTTCTATACGAGACTAGCAAGACCATTTCTCAACACGCTTTAGATTGCATGTTATTGTGTATTTTGATGTTTGCCTTAATGTTAAGTGGCAGTTTTTATCTGTTTGAAGTTTCAGGCACGACTGTCACCTAGCACTGTTTGCTATGATGGGTCCAAAACATTAGTGGAAAAGTTAAATGCGTGCAAATTGATTAGCGAAGTTACTGATGTATTGGATGATATGATTGGAGGTTGGGCAGTTATTTATTACAGGGTAAAAATTTATCTGTGCATGTACTTCAAGATGAATTCGTATAACGTAAGTGAAACTAAAGAAAGACTCCTATCAAGTTATCAAGCGGTTTGATTCCACTCGTTGTTCTGTTGTCCTGTCTTTGTTACTAATCAGAAGGGATGAAATTTTCCAAAACCCGTAGTGCATGCCAGAACTTATTTTGTTTAAGTAGTTAAAGCCAAACATTTTTCAACTTTGAGCTGATTCATACTGTCTCCTTTATTTTGATTTTCCTTTTGATTTGATAATTTTTCCTTTACTTTCTTTCCACAAACTGCGTTATGCTCTTCAATATAAATGCCTGGAGTCTATTTTTGATTGTTGCTTTCATAATAACTTAGGAACTGTTTTTGCCCCGGTCAAGTCAGCAATTCGGAGTGCATTCGTTATTTTAATTACTTTATTTCTACGATTTTTATATTCAGAAGTATTTGAATGATCGAATACTATTTTTTGAGAAGCAGTGTCGTTTGAGATATTGAGCCTCCTTCTCTTTCCACTGTATTATAATGTACCCTGATTTGTTTTTCGTTAGCCACAACGACTATAAACGCTAAGCAAAAATAGCGACAATTAAAGCTTCACCAGTATGAGCCTGCAAACTATTTGCCGATAATTTAATTTATTTATTCCTTTTTTTAGGAAGACTTCAAGAAAGTACTGCTCGGACGTGATGTATTTGGCAGAAAAAGTTTATTGTGGAAGCGAATGGATAAAAGATTTTATTTTTCTAATTTCGCTTGTGATCGGCAGGTAATCGGATTTAGTTAGTCAGTACTTAGGATAAAGTTTTAATGCACTTTGGTAAGCAAATGTTTTGATTTTTTCAAACATTTTTCAGCACAATTGGTACGATGTGCCATCGGGTACAGTGACTGTTCTTGATTTGTGCAATGAAGAAAATACCATTATATTTCATGTTTTCGAAGTCAGCGGGCCGTGGATAGAGCAATTTAATAAACTGTGTCGGGTGCAGAGAAAAGTAGTTTCAGAAAGACTCATACCTTCACATGAACTGTCTTTTAAAAATGTTTGTTGAATTATGCTTTATTTCCTGTATAATGTGACGATTGCTTAATTACGAACGATAGAGGAGTTTGAAACTTCTCTATGGATTTGGTCGATTGATTTTTTTTTCGGCAAAATAAATGTGTAAAGAAGTGAATAGAAGTTTACAGAAGTGGGAAAATTGGTTTATAAAGATGAAATATGAAACTTTCCATCAGATTTATGTTGTAAGGTCTGAAAATAAAATCAGAAATTCATTTTGGATCTTATTTTACTTATGATCTTATTTTATTTTACTTATCTGAACTTCTCTATAGGTAAGTTGCGAAGACATGGCGAAGGTTATGTTGAAACAGCTGAAGGAAGCTGTACATCGCACAATTTCTAATCTGGATAATTTAACGAAATGTATATCATTATCGTTCAGTGGTGGTGTAGACAGTTTGTTAATTGCTCATTTGTTGGCTCAGTGCATACCGCAGAATATGCTATTGGATCTAGTGAATGTTGCTTTTGACAAGAGAAAGGTCTGCAGTGTTTCTTCTTTTACTTGTTTTTGAGACCAATACTAATTTTTACTCATTTTTTCAAGTGAAATTAAAGTTTTTTTAAAGAATTGTGATGGAGTTCCGGATCGACTACAAAGTAAAAAGGCATTCAAATATCTCCGATCTTACTATCCTGAACTCTCTCTTCGTTTGCTTCTGGTTAATGTTGATCTGAATGAATTGGTACACTGCCGAAAAAAGTACATATCAGGTTCAGTGGCTCCAGCTTGCTCTGTCTTAGATGATTCGATTGGATGCGTGCAGTGGTTCGCCGCTCGTGGCGAAGGACTCCTGTTCGAGGATGAGGAAAAGTCTCTTGTACCTGGAAAGTTGGTAATGCTCAGTTTATGAAACTTCATATTATCCTTGTATGCTTCGGCTTTTCAAACATCTACTTATCTTAACTCAAATTCCTCTCCATCAATGGACGAATTTCAGTTAGTGAAAGTTGGTGGATTGACATATTCAATCGAATTTTCAAATTTAGTTGAGTTTTTTTTTTTCTTTAGATCAGAAGCCAGAACTGTAGTTGTCGGTAGCGGTGCAGATGAATTATTTGGTGGTTATATGCGGCATAGAACCACTTATTTAAAGAGAGGAAGAAACGCGGTGGTGGAGGAATTGCGTGAAGAGCTGAAAAGGATTGGTGAAAGGAATCTTGGGCGCGATGATAGAGTGGTCACAAGTCTGGGCAAGGACCTAAAGTTTGTGTTATACACTTATTGCTCAGTTTTTGCTTGTGTGCTTTACTGCTATCGGAAAGATGTCAATTTAAATTTGGTGGCTAAATGTTTCTTTAGCTGCTTTATCTTATTTTGTTCTGTATAATTAACTTGTGAAGTCTAATTTCATTTTCAGGTCGCCGTTCCTTGATGATTTATTTGTTGAATGGGTTACCTCTCTACCTCTCGAATACAAAACTGACTTTACACAACCTCGAGGGATTGGCGAAAAGTGGTTGATACGAGAGGCATTAAAAGTAGGTTTGTCATTGCAATAAGGGAAATTTTTGCTTACATTTTCAGTTTGAAAATTTTTTTTTAGCTGTTAGAAACACCACAGATGTTATGTCTCACTCCGAAACGTGCTATGCAATTTGGTACGAGAATAGCAAATTTAGAAAATCGAGGAGAAAAAGGAAACGACTTTTGTCCTAGACTTTTGGAAAAATGAATTTGATTACATTGTTGTCAGTGAGTAATTTGAAGTCTAAAATTCTAATTAAACTGGAAGTTCTTTTTTACACAAATAATTTTCTTATTCTCAAACACTCAAAGAAATCTTGACAGCATATGTCTTAAGAACAAGAATTTAGGGATTTGGAAGTCAGAGTTGGATTTTGCAGTTCCAAAGGTATCTCTAGAAGGAATTACATTGCTTCTAGATATACCTTTGGGAACTGCAAAATTTGAAGCCATCCTTAAGCTTGGGTTCTCTTTCTGCGAGTGAGTCAGTTGTGGTTCAGAGATTTCATACCTTGTGTGAAAATTTTTTTGAAATGTTTTTGTGCAAAAATATCAGTGCCTTTAATTCACTGGATCCATCTTCTTTTCTGAAATTCAACAGATACACTTATTATTGGAGTAGGTAGGGGAAATGATGGAAACAATTGGTGTAAAGCGAGATATGGTGAGGTGTCATTTTATACCATCATGCAGGCTATGAAAAGATTTTAGAACTGATTACATGTGAATTTATTTTTGTAGGGTATTCGCAAATTGCGTACATATGAACGATGCGATTCATCGACAATCTGTTGTCATAATTAGTGTTCATCATTTTATTCCGTTATGAGCAAAAATTTCCAAAATTTGCCTCGTTTTTGGGGCGAATTCCCTGGTAACGGGTCGAATCCGACTGATGAAGAGGCTGTTAAGTTCCATGTTAAACAGGATCGTTTCATACCAAGTCTACATTTTTCTGGCTAAGATCCTAAATCCAATGGTCAAGGAATTGGTACGGACTGTTGCTGGACTTGGTGATTGTCTTTACTGAGCTGGTTAATATTCATCTCCCTTTCTATTCACCGCGCGATCCATGTATGACTCATAAACAAACTCATAACCCACACGGTTTGTGTTTCAAAAAAATCAATATAGATCTCATAATCCATTTCGATGAACTTATTAAATTTTTATTAAAGGTTGTGCTGTGTGAAAAACTAATAATAATTAGCACATAAACATTGTCTGGTTTTTCTTACTTCATTATTATTATTATTAAGTTGGAATAAGTAGATTGAAAAGAAGCATCTTTGTTATAAAAATTATTTCGTTTGTATGATTGTATAGGTCAGCAAAGCTGAATAATCAAATATGAATCCAAGTTTTGAGTGAAAACGCTTTGCTTTGATAATAGAATAAATTTGAATAGCCAGTTTTTCATAAATCATTACAGAGATTTCAAATCAAAAGATAGAAATGCAGAGGAGTTGTAAGTTCCGGTTATAATATCCAGACAAAAAAAATACTTCAAAAAGAGGTAACGGCCGTATAAATCCATGCATATGCCTGAGTCAATTCTGTTTAATTTTTGCTGATGCAAACAGAAATATCCCGAGTGGTGGAGTGGTATTTTTTTTTTCTGGATGAAGTTTTCAGTTGACGACAAGACACCATCTTTACATGTTTATCGGTCATAACAGCGGAAATTGTAAATTTCAGAGTTATGAAGTGCAAAACAAGTGTTAAACCCATTGAATGTGGACTGAATATTTACATTTAATTTGATCTAATGGCAATTTCTAGCGGTGAAATTGATACGTCGGTTGAACAGAAGACTATTAAGGGTCACTTTTAAAATTATGTGAATTCTAAGTGATATTAGTAAATATCCGTATTAACACTGAGTTATTGCCACATACACCTCTGAAGCTATCCTCAAACCACCTCTGAAACTTTAGATTAGTTTTAAGGAACTATCTTATAAGAAAAGCAAATAGCAGCATAAAAAGTTATAAATACCCACTTCAAATATTGAAGACTAGCAATAAGGTATCCGAAGCATATAGTATATGATAAAATGAATATAACGACATTTCTTCTGAACTTCGGTAAGGCATAAAAATGATTTTCTTTTAGATGTTAATGAACTTTCTATCATTCTAGAAATGAAAGTGTAGGAATTTGGTTGACATTTTTTTGTTAATTGCTATTCATAGAATATCTTCATTTATAATAAAATGATAGAAATAAAAAAAAAGACATTTTTTCAAAATCAGCATCCATTAATTGTCACTCAGTTCTATCAATCTCCTTCGTTATTCAAAAATTGACTACATAGGTTCGTCTTGATTTACTCTGTTAAGATGGAAGAAATGTTTTCGTGCCATGTAAAATAAAAACGAATCACTCAGCAAGAATGGTTTAATGATGATAGCCGTCTGGAATTTCTCATAGAAGATTATTATAGAATGAATCTTTGGATCAATTATGTTTAATTTATTTTTAGTCCTTTTTACATTTTTGCTTAATCGCTTTCAGTATCCGTCTTTCGGTTACATGTATTTCCTGATAAGGTTTTCTTGGCCATCTGTTGAATTAGTCATTCTACTTAAAAAAACAGAGATCTCGAAAGTGTATATATATATTATAAAGGATCATAACAATCGATATTTTTTAGCTGGATCCTGTTTTTATTTGTTCTTTTTTTGCTACTTTTCGTTCATTTTGGTATCAACTCCCAATTATCAATTTAAACCGCGAAGATTATGACCAAGTAACTGACAAGAACATTAACAATTTAGCATTATTATCTTGTTCTTATCCATTAAAGTTTTGAAACAAAAAGTTCCATTCGGAAGTGAAATTTCTGTAAATGTTGATGGAACGATGGGATTCGAGTAAAGCAAGTTGGAAGCACGCAGGAAACTACAAATGAGGCTATATTCGGTTTCCACACTAAGGTTATACAATGTGATACAATGTATTCGTTACCGTTCACTTGAATACTTTAGTGGCAAATATATTGAAATGAGCAATAAGGATTTCATGCAACTAATCATTCATTTGTTAAACTTGGAAGTAGAAAGCGAAATGCTGTAAAAAAAATGTAAGTCGAAGTAACTGCGCAAATTTGATTCTTGATCTACCGGGAAAAATAAGATGTGTAATGGAGACTTCACCTCAGCTTACCGTGAATTGTTTAAAGATTTATTTATGATTTAAATAAACGAGTGCTCTATTAAAGAAAAATTGAATGACAAGAAAATTTTTCATTGACAAATCATTGAATCGTTCAATTAACATTCCATCTTTTACAAAAAAATTGGTGTTAATGACCCGAATAGTTTAATTCTCTTCAGTAAAATGTTTTTTTTTTTTTTTTTCTAAACTACAAAACTAAAAACTTTTGAACTTGCGAAATGACTTTATAAGAGGAATTTATAGTCAACAAAATTAATGCTTCAAAGGACACAGGTTGCTTTTCTCCGATTTCTTCAACGGCAATAAGCAATGACTGTATAATTTGTATTCGGATTATACACGTCCGTATTGCGCAAAGCAAACACGTAAAAATAATCGATATGTACATATCATTTATAAAATATTGGTTGAGTGACCAATTTTTCACAATTTGATGCGCAATTAAAATGACAGTCTGACGATTGAAAAATTTGTTCTATTCACTGTGATAGAGGAAACGGAAACATTTCAAAAGGTCATGCAACCGGATTCCTGGAAAGGACGAAGATAAAGAGAATGCAGACCAGTTTAAAAATCCGCCTCTTTGGCTTATGTTTCTTTACATCTCAGCTCAATTTTTCACTTCTCCCGCTCCCTCCCAATTTTTTCCCTCTACCCGCCCCCGCGATGATTCCAACGATTGTCGTCAATAAGCAAAAACTTACCTCTCCTCTGCGGCAGGAACAATAAGTAGTAGAAGAGACAGTAGTGAGACTCGCCTCACCTCTTTATATCACAACTCTTCCAAACATTTTAGAAGAGAAAAATGTGTGATGATGCCTCGTCGACATCTCATCGATCGACCAAATTCATCCATTTCTTGAATTGCTTTCTTGAACGGACCGCTCATGTAGCTGCCGATTATCCACGTACGGTTATCACGGTGAGTGAATCAAACTTTTAAAACACATTTTATAAATTACTGTGAATATTTTTACTATACATGACCTAGTTATCAGCCTAAAACAATGATAATATTTGCGGATGCATATTTTGATATTCCCGGTATTTCCGTATTATGAGGATCTGATAGGTTGAATTCAATAATTGTGAAAAAGAAATTTTTATTGAATATGTAGCAACATCACATAGCGGAATAAAATTACATGATTTATTCTTAAGAGAAACAGAAGTTTCTATTTCTGTTCAATATAGATACTTATTGCTTTCGATATTGCTTCTAAGCTGTAAAATATTTGCAATTTCACATTGAATTTTATTGAAGGTAAATTAGTTATTAAGAATTGCTTCTAAGTTTACTTAATAAGGACATGAAAATGTTACGAAGTAGTGGAAGTAAAAGTAAACAATTCAGAGCAAACTGATTCATCAATGCTTTTCGCATTCTTTTATTCCTCAGTCACATAAGAATATTATGCTTGAAGCCGAATAGATTTTATTATTCTTATTATTACTCTCAACGGTCAACACCGCAATTCCAGATTTCAAGGCATTTTCATGGATTTTTCTAACTGATTGAACTGAAAACAGTCTGTGAACTGTTTTAGATAAATATTTTAACAAACAGTTAATATTAGATTGATCCATTTGCAAGCTGTCGCTATGAATTTATTGTATTCATTAAGTGGAAGTACCAAATTTTAAAATTTTTTTTACGATTGAACACCTTGGCACGCTGTCATAAGCAAGTATTCTAATTTTTTCAAATAACCAAGTTAGCATGGTGCTCAAAATCCCTTTAAAAAAATTGTCGAAATTCTCAACCGCAAAAGTGGAAAAACTAGTCTGATGAATGTGCGTGTGTGTTTGTTTATGTGCTTGGAATTGCATTGTTAAAACCTGTTCCAATTCCTTGTCCGTTTCACCCCAAAAAGGAGAGAAAGAAAAGAATGTAAAGGAGATTATTTCGTTGAAATCGTTCTCCATATCTGATATATAATAATAAGAAAGTTTAGTTGATCATAGGGATGAATTTTGCCGAAATATATCTGCTGAATGTAATCATTGTGATCGTTGCACTTAATGGAACAGTCTGGAACAACGATTTATAAAAATCTGGTTCTCTTTTAAAGAATACGCAATATCTTGGAAGAACTAGAAACATTCTGAAACTGTCTTGAAGCTATGATAATTAGAAAGAATCTAGTGACACTGGATAATTATTCCTCTCATGTTCAGTTTTATCCTTCACAAGAATAAAACCTCAAATTTGTTACATTCCATTATATGTAAATTTTGAAATTCTAAAAACTTTTATTGTGATGTTTATGAGAAAAAATATTGCCACATATCTCAGCTATCACGGCTCCTTTATTATTTCAATCAACAATTGTGATTGCATGAAGATGAACTGACTAATAGAAGTTGAAAATGGAAAAGTGAATGAATTCGCAACCCGAGTGCATTTTTGAATTGGTAAAAGACTCAAGTGAGCAACTAATAAGTTCCTAAATCATCAATAACGTAGTTGTCAAATGTTGGAAATGGATGTTAACTATTAAGAGATTGAAACTTATTTAAAATTCGTCCTTCCAGTTCTTGTGTTTATTCGGAAATTGAATGTCATTGATAAAAGCGATTAAAGATCGCTGGGAAATGTTTATATTAGATGTAGCATATTTCATTGATTAATTAATGTATTATATGAACTTCCAAATTCAAGTTTGTGATCATCATTTAATAATAGAAAATGCCTAACACTGAATATTTAAATCATTTTGGACGACCAATTTTTTTCCATTTTTTTTACTGGAATTTGATTTTTCAATTGAAGTTATTAAATTGTTTTATCTTTATTACATTATGGGTAAATCATTATTTGTTGATATTCGCAATTCACTGCATTCCCCAAATGTTCTAGAAATAATCCAAATGTTCCCTCACAAATTTTACCGTATCAAACATAAAAAACTTCTCAAAAACGCACCACGAATATGTTAAAAAACGAGAATTCTCGTTTTCAAGTCCTAGAGATCAGTGTCTAAAGATGAATCGAATTAAATTATCAAAGCTAGGAAGTCAGCTTGATAAAAACAGGTAGGAAAGATGGTAAAAAGAGAAGGAGCGAAAAAAAGTAAATCACATAGATAAATTAGCTTTATTGTTGGCTATGTTGTTAAAGTCCATTAGTAAACTATACCATTTTACCCCTTGTTTTATAACAAAATTTTGAACTTGAAATTTAGTATTTTCTTATTTTTTGTTTTCTACCTGATCAATCTTTTCTTAATGCAACCAACCAAACATGGGCGCTATATGTAGAGATATATAAATTAGAAATACAAACGATTAGTTGTAGAATTAAATTTGAATATTTAAATTAAAATCGCGTGATTCATCAAACATGATGGGTTAGCAATATATATTTAAAATTTCAAGCTTCATGATATACGTAATCTTTTAAGATGATAGTAGTTATCATTACTATCAATTTATTTTCAGTTAGTAGTATTGGTGACGATAGCAGCATCATTAAAATTATTATTTGTAAAACCGAAGGATAACCTGCAATCAGGCTATACACCATCAAATGCTCGGGCCTTCAATGAATTGGAAGTTTTCCGAAAATTCAACGATGGTAAAGATCCCGTGGTAGTAATTATACTAGTTACTGCAAAAGATGGTGGTTCAGTCGCCAGACTACCTCATTTGAATGAAATTCTGAATGTTGTTGATTATGTGGGGACACATTTCCCCGTCAAGAATTATACCTATTACCGAATGTGCAGCAATTTCTGTGATGTCAATGAACCTGTTCGGCAATTCAGAGTAAAATACTTCAACACTTTTTTTTCCTTGAAAAGTCATTACTATCATTTTGCATGTTTAATAATTTTTTTCTCCAATCATTGGATTCTTCACTTTGGGAAGTTGAAATTTGCACTAAAAAAGAGTGAAATCATTTGATAAGTCTTTTTAAAAGTTTATTTACAATAAGATTTCTCTCATCAATAACTATCACAAACTCTTTGTTACTAATAATAATCAATGAGTGCTTTGACTTTGATATATGCCATTCATACCAACATAAATTAGCATAAAATTAATATGACAAAGAAGAACTTGGAAGAAAAACTATTGATATGGCTGGCTTATTTCTATGGTTTACATTATAAGCACAAGAGTTTCATATCATTTATGTATAATGACATTGATTGCCTTTTTTTTCTTCCAATAGCAAATTACAACAAAGGAAGAAATAGGTTAATTTTCAGAATGGATTAATTCTCAACACTGCAAAACATCTCGACAGAAATACCAGCCTACGCAATACAAGTAATAATAATAATAGTGGTGATGTAATTGAGCTTTCATTTCCCATAATGCAATTATTCGGCCGTGATCTTGATTTATCACCCTATTTCTTTGGCGTTGAATATACAACTGATGGTGTAAATCGAATTTCTGGAACAAATATCAAATATGTCAAATTAGTGGCGCTACATTTCCGAACACAGCGACCGAAAGAATGGACCAGTGATGATGATACATTCCACTGGGAACGTCTCGTTGGAGATTACTTTAAAAAGTAAGAGGCATTTTACATTCTTTCTATTCATCTCAGCACAACGAACAAATAACGAACTAGTTAATGAAAAGAAATATAAGGATGAAATGGTTTTTGAAATCTCACAGATCATCCTCACTTAACCAAGAGTGAAAATCGTGTGAAATTACAGCTTTCAGTGTAATAGGAAAAAGCAATAAGTTTCTCCAAATAATTTCTGATTCTTCTTTTTTTATCTTCTTCTTCTGTTCTCTTCGACAATGTTTATTAGTCTCTTTACAATACAACCTTTCAATTATTGTATGTCAAATTTAAATCCCAAATTACAGATTTTTGAATTTTAGTTAGCAAGCAAATAGCACTATTAAACTCATTTCCATAGTTTAAATTTTGAAGTGAATACAACAATTCGTTAATTCGACCAATCGCATTTTCGTTAGCTTATACGCAAGATGAAATCGTTCGCGCGGGTCTTGCGTTAATACCTTACATACTGGTTGGCTTCATTATGATGTGCATATTTGCCGTTGGAACAGTTAGCATCAATTCAATATGCACAAGACAGGTTATTTTGTAGTTTAATTACCTCTATGTTTTTTAATATTTTTGTTGTTGGAAAAATTTTGTTGGAGCGCTATTAGTGATATCCATCTCCTACAGTGAAACTTTGCAAAATTTTCCGAAGGACTGCTACACTTCTAATAAGCAAAATGAATCTGCAAAATATTAAAGAGCCATTTTGTAGTTAAAAATTTTTCTTAGTTTCATCACTAGTATTTTGTGAAGTGCACAAGAGTTTTAGTCAGTTATAAAATATTAAATTCTCATCAATTTGCCCATTTTTGGCTGAGACTTAATGCTGCAGAGCTTTTGAAAAATCTGAAAAGTGGCGTTCAGGAAGTTCAACCTTAATTTGTCAAAAGATGCTATCAATAGGAATAGTCCATAAATATCATAAAATAATTGTACCGCTATCTGACGTAACTTCTTTCCTGGATCTTTCACAAAAATTTTGTTTTGATATATTTCAGTGCATGGAAAACATGATACGGCGAAGTTTTGCACATAAAAATGCAATTTTTTATATGAAATGTTTGTAATCTAAATGAGAAATCCGTGAAACTGATAAGTCCATCTTCTCAAATTTGATAAAGTTTCATGCATTTTAAGTTCATGCATTATAAAAGGTGTAGTACAAGACTTTATCCGAAACTTAACTCCTTTAACAAAAAAAAGAAAATGAGAAGATCGAGCTGAATAAGTGAAGCAGTCAGGTATAGTTGGTATTCTTCAGTAATTTCTCCTTCCAGCAATATATTTCTTTTGGGGGCTTTCGCTTATTGTATAAATAAAAAGGATATCTGAAATTTGAAAATTATCTCATTACATTACAGTTTTCGAAAAACAAAATAATCTATGCTATTATGGGATGTATCACACCATTAATGGCGACAGCAACGGCTCTTGGACTTTTGATTTTATTGGGTCTACGGCCTGGTTCTATTCTCTGCGTTACACCGTTTCTTATTTTAGCTATAGGTATTTTCCTTTTTACTCGCCATTTCTACTATTATAAATGATTTATTTATTATTTACAATAGTTAATAATATGCTAGAATTTAATGATCGATTGCTAAAATGTTTACCGTCTAGCTATATGTTTGGAACAGTAAGAAACAATAAAATTGGCTGAAAATCTATGTCATTCTAGGAGTTGATGATGCCTTTTTAATAATTGGTGCGTGGAATAGAACAGATATTGAGATGAGGAATGGAACTGCTGTGTATAAAACAATTCGGGAAAGAATAGCGGTTGTAAGCTTTTTCTATTTTTTCTCTGAATTTTTGTTTTGAGAAGAATTTGCATCGTTCATAGTGCTTTTTGATAAAAAACATCAGCCTTGTTACATTATAATTCATTAGGTTCTAATTGATATTGGGCCATCGATAACTATAACATCATTGACAAACATGTTAGCCTTTGGAATTGGAATATTTACAACATCAACACCCGAAATCCGATTACTGTGCATCGCTAATGCAGCAGCCATTTTTCTGGATTATGTATATACCATAACGCTTTATGCTGCTGTGATGTGTATTGGTGGTCAAATAGAAATGGAGCAAGAAAATATTTGCGCAAAATCTATCGTCCCTGAACGAAAGTCTGAGGAACCATCTATGGTTTGTTAATTTTATTAGATTTTTTTGAACGAAGTAAAAGAGAGAAGATGGAAAATGAAGAACGGAATTGGAGGTATAGATTATGTAGCTTAATATGGATGTTTTTGGAATGGCTATTCTAAGCATAGCATTCATGGTCACAATTTGATAGCATCGTAGTCATCAATGACCTCAAGTAGTCCTGATAAGCTAATATGTAAAAGAATTACAAAAAACTTGATGTTTGCATTAATTAACATTGTCAAATTTGAAATAACTACGTGAATTCTAAAATGTTATGCAATTAGAAGTGATGATATGAAATATCTAAATTGCACTGGTTTTCCGGTACAATTTAGATATTATGCTAACCAATTTAGCGCTTTATATCAACCAGTTAACAGAACCTTTTTTTTTTGATAATATAATCTTTTTCAGGCCACAACTTTCTTGCACAATTATTGCAAATACCTATCAAGTGGCTTTACAACAATTTTGATATTTATACTGCTTATAATTTATTTTGTAACAAGTATCAAGTATGCACTGATAGCGAAGGGTTGTTTGACACCAGAAAAATTGTTTTTGGATGATTCACCTATGATTGAAGTACTTGAGCAAATTCTTGTTTCATTTTATGTTAATTTAACTTACCATATTTCAATAAATTAAACAAATTTTCAGGTAAACGAATTACACAGTAAACTGATCATGCCATCATACACTTTCGTGACGATATTCATCTTAAAGCCAGGAGATTTACGAAATTTATCCAGACGAGAACGTATGAAAGAGCTGGTATCTCAATTTGAAGCAATACCTGGATGTAAAGGCTCCAGGTTTACACATTTCTGGCTTCGTCATTATGAGACGTATTTGAAGTCAAAAAGTGAAGAAACCGATGAAAGTGAATTTGATGATTATACTTCAAATGATCTATTTAAGTTTCTGGAATGGCCCGAATATGAAGTCTTCGGTGGATTCATGAAATTCGACAATCAAACTAATCGGTAACTGATTTCTGATGCACAATGAAAACTAATTTTTGAATTTACACCTTTTTAGATGTGTAATTTCTGACAATAATATTTCTTGAATCTGGACTACAACAAGTGGAATATGTACAGAATCAATTTAAGAACTTAACTTTTGTTTATTATTAGTTGACTGTAAAGCCTGCTCCTTTAGCTCTGCACAAAATTCCTCAGTGCCAAGAAGTAATGAAAGATTACTGTATTTTCTTATGAATGTCATGGACAGAACTTAGTCATAAATTTGTTTAAATTTTCAATACAAATGAATAATATTTAATAGTGGTTTAGAAAAATCTGGGAGCTTTTATGCAAACAAGTTTCAGTCTTACAGCCTTTTACGTCACGGTCACTTATCATGGTAAAAATCAGTCCGATTGGATACAGCGACTAAATATGCTGAAAGCGTGGCGAGCAATTGTTGATCGTTATAAGATATGATTTTTATATGTATAATAATACTGAAAGTGTACAAACTCACGCAGGAAGCTTTTGGAGCTAATTCATCAAATTTCAGTTTAAAATAAATTTCAATTTGAATTGGCATTCACTTTTTGTGTTTGCTATTTGCACAAGTAAATTCTATTTAGCTTGAGCACAAACTTTTATAGGACCTTGAAGCATCAGTATATGAAGAAGAAGCTTTATTCACGGATCAAATTGATTCGTTAGTAGCGACAACTTTGCAAACATCCCTTGTGATATTAGCATGTATGATAGTGGTGTGTTACATTTTTATGCCCGACCTTTCAACTGTGTTGATTGCAATCTTATCAACTGCATCAATATGTATTGGTAAGTTCAGCATGTCATATTTTTAAAATTTAAATTGCAAAACCAGTTTAAAAATAGCATCTGTAAGGTCTCATAAATAGTTTTGAAAGCTACGATGAGATCTAAAACTGATTTTGCAGGAGTATTTGGCATCTTGACTTTTTGGAATGTCGATGTAGACCCGGTTTCCATGGCAACAATGATTATGTCTATCGGTTTATCAGCTGACTTTCCGGCTCACATCACTTTTCACTATCATCGCGCTGGATTGAATCCAAATCTGACATCAGTTCAAGAACGACTTGAACATACGTTCGACGTCGTCGGTTTTCCGTTGCTTCAATGCAGTTTCTCAACGCTATTCTTCGTCCTAATTCTATTACTTGTCCCCAGTTATATGAGCGAAGTATATATTATTTGCAAAAATTTTAACTGTCGTCCTCGTAGCGTATTAATTTTTTCGATTTAATTTTTAACTTCAAAATTTTGATCACTCAACAGATATTTTAATTTGAAACAATGTTTTTCATCACAGGTTTTTACAAAAGCCGTTGTCGTAGTAATCTTACTGGGAACACTTCATGCATTAATTATTGTTCCTGCTGTTCTTTGTGCATTCTCAAACATTTATCAGCACTTCTTATTTATAAAAGATTATAAGGTTATCATTTCTTAATTTATGCAACATAACCTTATCAGAAATTACTGAGACGTTCATAATCATTTGTAATTGATATGGAATTAAATTTGTATTTGCAAAAGAATTAAACATTGCATTTTGAAAATTTAAGCAGTTCTTGAATTCTGTTCAAGAGTTCAAGTGCAGGAAAATTGTAATTACCATATTTCTAATGAAACAGATGAACTCACTTCTAAATTATATTTTTCCCTTAAATTTCAGTTAGCATCACTCACTGGCATAGTAACGACAAAAATATCTCATGTACAGCAGTGCGAATCTACATTTCATTCTATCACAAAGCCCTCGGAGCAGTGACAATTATGCAATATACAGTTCTATTGGATTCTTTATTAATAATAAATTTTTTGACCTGAGCTGAAGAAATTGGTTCAAGTGGAAATTTTGCAGCCATCTTACTTGTTCAAGCTTCAGAGATCAAACTGCTGAGAATCTCTACAAGAATTTAGGACTATAAGTAAATTTGAGATACAAGTATTCTGACAGGTACTTGATAGAGAATGCTAATAGGAATGAAATTGTCAAGTGTTATGGTATTTCAGCTGTTTTGATGATTTCGAAAATTGATAAATTACATTTAAATAACTGATAAACATATGAACCACTGTCTATTATCGTTATTCTTGTCAAAGAAAAATCCCAGCTACATAAAATGAATAAGATAGCGCCGTGAAGGACAAAGAATGGCGAAAATGCGCAAAATAAATGACGACACGGTACCAATGATATCGTGCTTTGTACCTTTGGGTACGGAACAATTCATTTTGCCTTTACAATCATCATTTCAATCCACTAAGAGATATCTCGTTGGATTACTCTAATCATCCGCGGTAAGTCATTTTCTTAATTTAGCACCACTCAAAGATGAAGAGATTCATTTATATGAACGCTGACATGATTCTATATATTACAAGTAACTAAATGGGCATAATTGGGAAAAAAAAAAGCGAAAATGAAATTTCTACTTCCAATAAACGAATTAACACTCTTTGATAAGGACAAATTCGAACTAAAAACAATTACATGCTACTTTCATTCTAAGAATTTAGAATATATTGCGAAGGGTTTTGAAATTTTCATAACTTCTAAAAATTATCCTGATAATAAAAATCTTGAAACAATACACAAATCATGTTCTGAGAAAAAAATTAATATATGGATGTACTTGGTAATTCATATTACTCAAATTAAGAGGCATCTCAAATGCCTGGACATCAATCAATATAGACAGGTTCATTAATGTACATAAGTGAGCGTGAAGGTTTTCAAAATAAAAACCTCAACCATTCTAGGAAAAGAAATCCAATTACCTCTTTTTTTCCTCTTTGTTCTAATCTAATAAATAGCAAATAAGGCACAAATATTCTCCTTTATGCTAACTGCTGTTATTAATTCTTGAAGACTTTTCGTGGTTAACTGTCAGATATTTTAAAATTCAATTCTATTAAATTCAGTCAGTCTCGATGCTCCATATTTGCATTGCAGTTTTCAAATAAAGCGGTCATTTATACCACCAGTCTCCGTATTTATTTGTAGAACAAAACAAGATTATGTTTGAATAGGACAAATCATCCCTCAATTAAAATCATGCAATCAGTACTTATTTTCACTAAATGCCATACCAACTTTTTTGTTATCTTTGCAAACTCATATTAATTTTCAGCACATCTTCCAGTTGCTGATCCTCACGTTATTGCAACTTTCTAAACAAAGAAAAGTTAGATAAGCCAAAAAAGAGCAAAAATGTGCTTAGTGACTCAATTAACAAAAAAAAATTACAGAGCAATAGCCTTCACGCAATCGTTAACACCAAAACCATTAAAAGCACTCGTTTGAAAAAACAACATGCCAAATTCCTGTAAATTTAGCAAACATTTCTGCAGTAATTTAGGAATGCTTTCAACAGATACCAAAATGGATAAAAATCCTTACTTCAGCAAGCTTCTTGCCATGTTTGTAAGTACCTGTCCTTATCACTCGTAAACAAATCAACCTATAAATTTGACATTTATACTGTTAACGGAGATCAAAATATATATTCAGTTGTAATTGGCGTTATTGGTATCTTGGATTACGGCAAAGATGAATAAACGTAATACGAATGGAATAAAACATCAATTTTTGGAACTAAGAGAAAACAATCATTATCAGTTCAATGGTACTTATTTTCTAGAAAATATCACTTATGCAATCACAGCGTTGAAATATTGAACTAATACCGTGTTTCCAATTGAACACATTACACAGCTTTCATCTACGGCAGCTTTTATGGAAGTAATCCAATTTCTAACATTTAAAAATGAAGTTACATCATACATTAATATGATACCATTTTCTTTTCGAAAATAATGCTTTGTTATATTTCGAAATCTACAGTAGATTTCATATTAATGGTATATTAATACTTACGAAAATGTTTTAGAAATAATGATTGAATAATAAGTCAAAGATTTGTTTGTAAGTGATTCATACAGAAAATGAGCGTCCTAAACATTGAAAAAACTAATTCTTATTCAATAATATGCTATAATGAAATAATATATGCGTAAAGCGTATCGGAATCTAAATATAAAGTCGAGTTTACACAACTTGCAGAGAAATAAAAGAAATTAAAACTTTTCTTGTCCAGCGGTATCCCATAATTGCACAGCAACGATATGATCACATAGACGAATTGTTTTAACAGTAAAGTCAACTCCAATCGTAGCAATAAAAAGAAGTTTGAATCGATTGTGACAAAACCGATGCAGGAAGCAAGTCTTACCGACAGCCGAATCGCCCATAAAAACCACTTTGAAAATATGATTTAGTAAGAAATGTGGCCATGGCTGCAATTTATTTGAAAGATGAAAAGCGTGCTTCTGTCATCCATATTTCTAAACTAGAAGTTTGCTTTTAAAGTTCATATATATGGATTTAAAAAATATATACTGCTTAATATACAGTGAACTTCCGTACATTCGGAACAGTTCTGCAGTTCTCGACGGATGAAAACTGTAGCGATCTATTCACTTAATTTGAATCATCTGAACATAAATTCACCACATCATATGTAAGGCTTAAAGGTGTATTTAAATTCTGAATTTTTTTCGATAATTGGCACTTGAAATTGAGTTCAGCTCTCAGTGTGGAATGATAAAACTCACCACAGATTGTGGCTCTTCATTATTCATTATTCCACATTTCTGCAATTCCTACAAATATAAACATCTTATTAATTGTAATGAATTGCTCATTTAGGTTGAATCATTTAAATAGGAATTGGTACTGTCATCTTATATAAGGAGAATTTTAAAACATTTTTATTGATTGAATAGCTCTCAAATGTAATTTTTCTATTCTCAAGAAACCTTTGCCTTTTTAACCATCCCTTTGCCGCACAACTTCGAAAATATTCATATATCCGAAACCACTTATTTTACTGCTTCAACTAGAATCACAATTTTTAATTCATTAGTCGATTTCTGCACAACAAGTAAACCATCAGAATTTTTCACTTTTAAGTTGGAATAACAAAATACTGAAACTAGAAACAAAAGTATTGTTTGATTTGTGACCTTTCGAACATTCAAAACAACTTTAAAAACATGTCGCTTAGAACGGTAACTTTCGACTTATGAAGATAATGTGTATTGCTTATCCTTTTTTGGCTATAATAATGTGCCAGTGAAACTTCGTGTTGCAAATTATTTTTCAATTTTAAAAATTGCTAAAAAGACTAGCATCAGCTAGCGATCGGATCCGGATGACGATTTCATACTCGAAAAATATATACATTTGTGCAAATCTAGTTCGCTTGCCGTTTTCCTATTCCTCCTTCGGAAATCTGCCAACTGTAACTCACTATTTTAAAAGCTGCGTACAAATAATATGTAACAAGTATTCTGCAAGGTAAAATAATAAAATTGACTTTTCCCTTCCATCCGTTATCAAAAGATTCATTGTAATATCGAATAAACATTTAGATACTTCCTTCCGCATCTCTCTTTCGCCTTTAATCTTTCGATTTTCAAAGGAATTTCATTATAATAAATTGAAAGTTTCATTTAAAGATAACAATTATACCGCTTTTTAAGAGATTAAAAATATTTCACTTATATTATTTACCAGCATCTAAGGAACTTAAATGAGCCATATTTTCATAGTTTATAGTTTGTGAAAAAATTGAAAGGATTTTTCTTAGCACCGAGGAAATCAATAGCCATCATATACGGAAGATGATACATTAATTATACATTCAAAGAGAAATTTAAATTTTCAAATTTTCATTGGCAACTTTTCATTCTAAACATCGGTTAATACAAAACGTACTTTGAAAATTTGCGTTATTTCCATTATTGATCGTGTTGGAGGATCATATTGCGATGATGAACCCGTGTTGTATACTGTAAACGGAAAATCGATTATTGGTTCTTTGCAATGCATTTATTTTTAAATAGAATATATCATAATTTTGCTTAATCCTCTGAGCTGAAGCTCATAAGCTTACTATCAGTTTGTAGCAAAATTTCAAATTTTAATCAATAACAAGGAAATTCATTAAGCACTGGACGAATTTTCATTATTTAATTATGATATTGATTTGAAAAAAAAGACCTATGAATTTTTCGGAAATTTTCAGTACATCAAAGTTGTTCGCACCTAGTTTTTAAAAACCTAGTTTTTCTAGTCTTGGTAATATTGCCCAAATCGGTACAGCATAAGTGTACAAGTTTAATTTATACATGACATATTATTAGGAATATATAATGATTAGAGATATAATGACTCATATACTGAGAAATATTTTGAAAATGAAACTGGTTTTTTATGATTGAAAGTATAATGATGACAATTAGTGGAAAAATGTTTATTTATGCCTTCAGCTAGTGCTTATTTCTTGTAATAAAATATAATACTAAATGAAATGAAGGTAAATGTGCTAATGAAAGATATTCATTTAACAATAATTTACAGTCTAATTGGCTATCAAAAGAAGCATTAGAGTTGGTGCTATTAAAAATTGCAATTCTTTCCACTCTATTCTCTTCGAAATTCTTTAATATTCACAGGAGACACAGTAAAGCATCTTGGAAGAATTAGTCGTTTCTAACTGAAAATAACACAATTAAAAAATGAGCTCAACTAGAAAGAAAAAAAAACAAAACTGTAGTTTTGTTTTTGTTGTCCAATTATTTCGGATGGCTTCTTATTCTGCAGTGCTTTGCCCAGTTCTGTAAGAATTCCGGCAGAAATCGATTTTCTTCGAGTTGATGCTGAATCAAAAATGCCTGTTGATCAGAATCCCTCACATTTCCATTTATTTCCTTCTTTTCCTCGTTTTTTTTCATTATTGTTTCATTATTCTCTTCTAAAACTCCATCACTTTTTGTTAAATACGGTCCTACTTTTGTATCCTGAAATGATTATTATGAAAGTGACACAAATGAAATTGCAAATAGCTTAACTCATGAGTGAGTGAAATTAAATATCTTAAACAACATTTGAGAAGGCAAGACTAGACTTATGACAGCGTTAGAATCGAAAGGCACGTTGCACAGATGGAGTGGACAAATTCTGGTTTGCTAATGAAATCTTAGTTTTGCTCAATATTCTGTTTAAATTTGTTTTTTTTTTCAAGTATCTATCAAACTCACAGAACTTTAGTTCTGTTTTTTTTAGAATGGATACAAGAACCAAAGAAGTCTACCTACCTCCTTTGCGAAATTTCGAAATTAATAACTGGAAATTTTTCAAATTACGAATTCGTAGGATTTAAGAATTTTCTCATCTACATAGAGACCACTCACTAAACATGAAAACCACTGGAGATTTTTTTTAAACCATGAACCGAGAACATATTATTTTTCTACTTGCCTGCAGCATTTCGTATTTCTGAATTGCAAAAAGAAGTAGTAGGCGCGTGTACCAAATAGAACGAAAGTATCATTTTCATGACATTTCTGTATATTAAAATTGATTTTTTACTTGTTTCAATTTAAGCCATCTATTTTTGCATAGGTGTTGAGATATTTTTTTATTATCGAACACTTTATAACTCCAAAATCATTATATTAGCTCGATGAGAAACCCTATAAACTCATCAATAAAAAGCAAATCATAGATTTGGCCAAGTACAGTTCACTGAAGGCATTTCGCAGAAGCATAGGTTCTGTAATATATCTCCATATACATGATATTCAAATTGTTACTATTGAAAAAATAAAAAAATTTAAGCCACCGAGCATCCAAAAAGATGACATCGTTGCTGAAATTTTTAACAACCTCGTTTGTCAGCATTTCAATGCTATCTGAATGCAAGGTAAACTTACTGATGTTCTTAATGAATTGGTTTTCAGTAATATAATTAGTTTTAAAAATATCTGCATTGTCAAAAAATAGTTCCAGTTGTTGATGTGATATATTTGGTATCATCCCATCGATACAAGCCAAATCCATTTTTACCACAAATCCTTTCTCGTTATGATCGTATAATGAAAAAATTTTTCTGGCCTGTTAGCAACTTGAGTGTTTTGCAGTAAAGTCTTTTTGGATTTATAGTTACGTGAAGGAAAAAACAAAATTTTTTTACGAATGATTTCAAAATTTTCAGTTAGCACTTGTATCCTCAAAGTTAGTTTGTTAATAAAATTTTTTAAATCTGATAACAATAATTCAACCTGTTCTGTAAGCAAATTATCTTCATTTTGAAGCGCTGGTGAAGAAGCAATAATTTTTCATCTTTTTCCAACAAAATATCTACCATCATTGTGATGTTATTGTTATTTATATCCAGTGTTCTAATAAAGGACTAGTCTGAGTTTTTTCCATATTCACTGATGACAAAGCTACAATTTTGGATAGCATAGCTTATCACATTAATCAAGAATCAAGAATGATCCATATTTCAATCTCTTGAAGGACTCTGAAAGCTTCGACTACCTTGGTAATGTAACTTTTACCTGAATCACTTCCACTTAAATCAGTGATGCAAAAAACACGGATCATTAGTAGAAGCCATGCATGATGTGAGCGAAAAAAGACCATGTAAATGAGAGCCAAGCGTCATATCAGAACAAGAGATCGTCTTTAGTGATAGTAGTATATCTCAACGGACAAACAGTTTGCAGAAAATTGGGAAGTACTGAAATTTATTTAATGAACTGTTCTTGGCCAAAATTTTATAAATCGAATAGCACGAAAGGAAAAGCTCATGATATGACCGCAATACAGCTAAGCTATTGCTTTAAAGTTTGGAACAATTTTACAGTTTCGTCGAAGCTTTGTCTATGCATAAGGCATTCACTGTTTTTGGTGAGTGATGTGGTCGTTTTACAGATATGACATCATTTTTATACAAATGTAACTGAAGCCATTTTATTTCTTGTCATAGACATGTAAGAATATATCAATCTTCGAAAAAAAGAGGAATGGTCGATCAATCACGGTTTGATTGATCAGATGTATGCTTTTTCCTTACTTTTCACAATGTAGCATAATACTATTTCGAAAGCAAAGGAAGATCTTCGCCTTTTACTGATCAACAAACAACAGTATCAAACAGTCATCGTTACTTAAAAGCAAATTTTCAGCTGATTTTAAGAATTACTGCAAAAAAAATGAAATTGTACTTTCGGCTATTCTTAATATGCAATATCTGATCTTGGATAACAACAGATTCAAAATGATAAATAATGAGTAATCTTAACTCATTCTTCCTCGTTTTCATTCGATTCAGTTTTGAAGAAGATTAATTCATATGAATTGTAAATGTCATTCAAATGAAGCAGTTATAGACGAAGTAAAATTTTGGTAGAAAAGTTCGTCACCATCATTTTTTGCTACGATTTTACTTATACGAAATTATTTCAGAATCGTGATCCATTATGTTGGCTTAAAATCTGTTTTCTGTTTTCTCATAAAAAAATTCGGTGATAAGCTGATTGATTATCATTATTCAATTTTAGCTGGTATTATTTAGACATTTGTTTCTTATGTTTGATAATATTAACAGCTTAATGACAGCTAAAGGAATACTAGAATTATCCAATTAAGTGCTGATTTCTTTGTGAATCCTTTCCATTTTATAGGCAGTGAACTTTTATCCATGTACAAAAAGATATTGCATAGAAGAGCATGATCGTTACTTATGGATGTACCCGAAATTTAAAGCTACCTTCCTTTTGCCGTTTGGGCTTTCTAATGGCATACTTAGGGTACAATTTCAAAATTCTGAAAAATTTGAAATTTGAAAAAACAGTGCAGTCTGAATACTACTGACAAGAACAAAAGACCATAAATCTAGAAATATGAAATGGACTTTTATTTTAAGATTTTTTAGGTGTTACTAGTTTATTTTTGGGTCTGTTTAATAATAATATTAGTGCTCAGAGAGGGAATGTAAAAACTATTTTCACTATGCGACACTTACACTACAAGAGCAGAGCCAGTCGCAATCATTTGTAAATTCAACGCCACTGGTGCTAATGCCGGCCAATACATCCAGCTGCATCCTCTCACTAGCAACCAACGCATAAGTTTTTTTATAAAATTTGTGACAGCTGCTAATATACATAGTAGTTGTTACTAATTTTATCACATTACGCTTCGGTAATATTTATTGGTAAAACTGAAAAACACTCATATAATCAATAAATTTGTTGGATTTCTGTGAGATTTCAGTTATGTGATATTATGTATTTTCTTCCAACATCTAAAATTGTAACTTAAATAAAATGAGTCTCATATAAGTTGGGATTCTGTTCCTAATTTCCTAAGTAGTCTCTATTTTGCTTATCCGGAAAGCTGAGAATCCGATAAGAATATTTTAATCCCATCACTGCTTTCGTGGAATAATCTATTAATGTTTTTCTTCATTGCTTGCTGATATCGCTGAGGGACTTTAGTTGCTGCACTTCACTATCTTGTATTTTCCATTTTAAAATCAAGAACTCATTACCAATAATACTTACTTCACTCATTTTAAACTATTTTATAATGGAATTTATTTTATAACTTTGTTACTGTTAATGGTTAATGGAACAAGTTCAAAGAAGGTTTTAAGGTTAACATGAGGATTAAATCAGAATTTCCAAAAAAATGATGGAGCACAACAAATTTTGTCATTTCCATACCTCTCACTAAAAACAACTACAAACAGCAAGAGCTGACAGCGCCCCAACATAAATTGTTTGAAGCAAATATTTTGATGGCTCTCTAACTGGTTGGGTAAGCAATTGCCTGATTGAAGAAGCTTTGCTTTTTTAATCCTTTTCAATCCTGGCGAAACACGGACACTCTTTATTTGAAAAGCACCACCAGTCGGAAACGAAACCACAAATCCTTTTCTTGTTTCTCTCCTCCGCTGATCCATTTCTTCCAAAATTTCTCCCTTTACACATTTATGTGGTCGTAATTTTAGAATTAATGTGATCTACGTCACAAGTTTTCATTTATCATAAAGTGGGTTGCTAATAATACTTATTTTGACTGATCCTCTATTCTGAATTCTAATTTCTGTGATAAAATCAGTTCTGGAAAGAATATTTCCTATAGATTCGAGATAACATTTTTTTGTGGTCAGGAGCAGTCAATTTCTGAACGTAGCACTTCTGATTTGCGTTAAGGATATTATGCATTTGAATAATTCCAATTATTCAAAGTAAAGAAAAGGCATCAGTTATTTTGTGTTGTGGAGAAATAAATAGTTTAAACCATCTAAAAGTTTCGAAAATAAATCAATCAAGAAATTACATTATCTAATAATTATTCATTTTACAGTGATGAATCAACATCGTAAACGAAAACAAAATTCAACGATGGGCAACTTCCTACTGAGTCAAGGACTTTCAAAAAAGGATGTGTAAAAGGATTACGTACCTGTCATACATTTTCAAATCTTTGAACTACATGTTATGAAAACTTGCTCAATTTATGAGCCAATGATGATATATCAAATTTAAACATATCTTTAAATATTGCTGTTTACTGGACTTCATGAACAACAGATTTCTTGTTCAGTGCTACTCATAAGGTTATCTGCGTAAGTGAAACTGAACAGGAATCTGTCAAGAATTTATTTCACAAAAAAGTTTTTTTTAGTGCAACGTCCAACCAAAAGCTTTTTTGAATCTTTTAGTGATTAACTGCTGCACAAACTTTAGAACACAGTCTTAATTTAGAATTTAAATTGAGAGATGGATACGCACGCACACATATCCACATATTTAAAGACAAGTAATAACTTATATTATGAGCCCCCTTTTTGTGATTCGTTTTGCTTCCTGAAATATCCCTGCCAAAGCTTCAGCATGACCTTAATCAATGTTTTGGCAGCCTAATATCAACTTATCTGTGTATTCCAATTAAATTTGCCTTTCAACTCTCATCCACTATTTAGATTATTTTAGCCCAATTATTTTACTAGCCTTATCTTTTTATTTTGAAAAGTTGCTTAAGTCCAGGTGATATTTGCAAAATTGTGGTACCATGACTAAGTTCTCTCGAAAATTTTCACCTATTTTTATAGTTAGTTTTTATAGCTAAGTTAAAGTTACAACTTCCGCAGAGGTTTTTAAGATAGTGTATAAAAAGATAGTATATAAATTTTTTTGTTTTTGTTTTACCGGATTAAGTATCAGTTTAGTACTCAATTCATTCCCGGGCTAATAATTAAAATTGTAACAAAAAATCACTAACATTATGTATTTGAAAGAGGCACTAAAATATTTCATTGAATTCCAAGTTTTTGACAAAATCTGTGCATAAATATCGCTACTGATTTCATGTAAATTATGACGATATTCAAATATAAGATTAAGAGTTGTTTTCATAGGCTTTCTGCCTTTTTCCAAAAAAAGCTCATCAATCTGCAAGGGCTCACTTATGATGGATGTGGAAAATTTTGTAAAAAGACAGTAAAATCGAATTTAAAGTAAAACGGTGAAAAAACTAAAATATCACTAGCTGAAGTGTATCATTTTCAAGATTCATAATGTCAACTATTATAAAAAGCGTTTCACAGATCATCAGATGAACAAGATTCGTTTAATTCTTATATTACTGTATATTATTATACGATAGTTGTTACAAATGAAAGTTTAAAAAAGTAAACATAAAGTAGAAAAGAATTGGGTGCATTTTCACCAATAGCCATTTTATATTATCATTGCCGTTCATACACTCATTTAAGAATTATTTTAATGAATTTTAACTTTTCCTAATGCTGAAATGCACACTAATGAAAAGGTGGCAAGAAAAAAAGATTCTTTTTTAAAATATATCATTTCGTCACGGCAACAAATGCCTAAATTGTTCATTTGTCAATAAAGTTTTTCCTTTCCTTACCATCTTTTCATTTGTGTGTAAAAGCATAAGTTTTTTTATGAACAAATATTCTCATATCAGAAATTTTTCAAAATAAACTTGAATTCTACTTGTTCCTAATACTTATGCAACAGATGTAACAATATATGATGATCGATCGGTTAATTTAAAGGAAATTTGAACAGCAGCATCTTCACTATGATTTTTTGACATTTGTGATCAAAAAATTTTAATAATGAAATCTTGAAGCAAACTTAAGAGTATTCCTTCAATAATATTGGGAGAAGTTTGCTGCTAGGAAGCATTTTATTCGAGATAATTCGGAAGTCTTTAGAAGTCTTGCTTGATTACGGTCACTTTGCTGAATTTACAGTTTAAATTTTAGTTATTTGCAGAGTTCTGATGAAAAGATTGAATAAAATAGATAGCTATTTGACTTTGTGTGCTTAGAATAAACGTTTATTAAAGATTCTTTTTAGAAACAGAACATTGTAAGTTGGATTTCTTGCAAACTTTTGTTTGATAGAAATTAAGAAGAAAAAAAAAACTATCGTAGGCTACAACTTAGCTGTGCTAATTTTCTGTTCAATATTTGATTCTATTAAGATAAGAATTGTAATCATTTTTTTCAGAAGTCTATACTCTGATTTCATAGTTTCATTTAATTTTCTTTTATTCGTTTGCGCATGGTTATTTTCACTGCAAATTCAGAAAATGCAATATTAGAAAGATGGATGAAGCTATTTTTAGGAGTCAATGGCACTTTTTATTAAATAATCATTCCAACTTCAACGTCTTCTTTAATTTATTTTTTCCTAATTGAATTCAACCGATTCAATGCTCCTTTCTTTCTGCTTCCTGCTTTCCATTTCTTTCATGCAAAATTGCACTTTCTTTTTTTCTTAACTTCGAAATCTATTGAAGTGCACATTCTAGAAGCTTTGCTTTTGCAGTGCTAATACAATAAAATTTCTTTTCCTGGAGCTGATCATGGTTAATATACAATTCCCCTTTTTTCGAAATATCTAATCAATATTAGCATTGATATCAAGTATCACATGGAATAAAATACAATTAGGAATTTATTGTTTTTTTTACTTGGTAATGCCCATATAGGAAGTCATTCTTCAGGTATGCGAGAAACCATACGATATTAAACTGTCCAGCATGCGTGTGTCCTGATAAAACCAAATCAATTCATTTCTTAGTATTACGTAGGATTTTAGAAGCACCATTTGGTTGATGTACCAACAGTATCACAGGTTGTGTCTCACTACAACCATTCAATGCACGTTCTGCATCCATATGAACTTATCATTATCATAAACGAACTTATCATAAACGCGACCATGGAATGTCCAATTTCTTTCAAGAGACGATATACAACATATTCTTGCATCAGTGTGCCAACGTAGGAACCATTGAAATTTAGTGAAGCATGTTTGATCTATTCGAAGAGGAGTGAAACATTAGCTTTCTTTAAATATGAATTCTTCACTACTCGTCAAAAGCCGAAGCATCGAAGTGTGTTCATATATTTGTAGTTTGTAGGTTCTGATATTTGTAGTAGCTTGCAATAATTTCCCTAAACTAAATGCTCTTTTTAAATTTTTTGTTGTGACTGCCTGAAAAATATTCTCATAGGCGTGGACATTATATGCACATTTATTCAGAACTGTTTTCTTTTAAAATATGTTTTAAAAAATCCTATTTAACTTAAACAATTGACTGAATAGACTTACCTAAAAAGAAACGACTTAAGATTTTGCGATAAATTGTCGCTGGAGGCAACTGCAAAAATAATTTCCACGTGCAAACAGTATTTTGGAATGCAAAATCCCTTCAATTTGTATATTGTGCATAAATTCTTAGATATAATTATTTGTGACACAAACTCGATTTAATTGATTTTATTTATAACAATAATATGAGAAAAATGACAAAGGTGAGTATAATTACAATTTAAAGTTAAAGTAATGGAAGTTGTATTGAAATAATTTATAATTTGATCCTACTACGTTTCTTAATTTTGTAATCAAACAATGAGTTAATGAAGAAATATTTCTTCTTATTTCTTTTTAGTCCACAGAGTTCCCAAGTGATTTATGAATTCCATAAACTTTTTTGCTAACAACAAATTCGTCATAACTTGTTGATGATATCCATTTTAGTATGGTAAATTGGACTGCCTTAATCCATAATCTATCACCGAAATAAAATTTCTCTGATGATTGTTGCTCTGCATTTGCTTATGTTTTTCAAAAAATTTTTTTTTATTTGTTCAATCTAATTTTCTTTACGAAAAATTCAAAAAGAAAAAAATTGTGGCAGCTGAACTTATGCTTCTTTATGAACTTTTTATCATAGGGGTGTGGGCAGTCACTCATATCACAAAGATCAAAATAAATTTTGCAACAAATCCGCTTCATTTTCATTAGAGGTTGTGATGCTTGCACTATCAAAAAAGTAAATGATACTTCGTTTGAAGCCATGCCAGAAGGAATAATGTATTATATTTTGCCTTTTCAATGAAACCAAATATTTTCCCCCTTTGACCTTTGAGGAAGGCAACTTCATAATTTTTGAAAGAAAATGAAATTTGCTAACAGCATTACTTTTTATTTCTTCTTCATATTATAATTAACGTTTTTGTTTCTTTTTTTTTGATTTTCATATAACAAGCATTTAAATGACACCACGTAAAGAGAATTTTCACCACGTAAAGAGAATTTTAAGTAAGAAAATACTTTAGACTATAATAAGAACTAATATTCATTTCTTAAACATTTTGAAATTTTTACTTCAGGCAGTTTTTTTGTCCAAAGTTTTTTATAATCTCCAGCAGTAAAGATGTTTAGTTCCTGGTGAATTAAATCCATATTTTTCGATTAATTTAATTTCTAGTTAATCATCTTCCTCGAATGAACTCATCCTGAAAAATGGCAATGACAAAGAAGCCATTGGAGTGGTAACTCCTAGATCTCAAGCCCTTAAATGTTGACGAATCAAACTTCTTGCACATATGCTTGATTCGATTAAAAATATGAAACATTGGGCTAAACAACAATTTATGACAAGTAGTATTAACATTTTCATTTCGATATTTTGAGTTTAACGATCATTCATACTTACATCCGTAGAGAAATAGAAAGGAGTGAAATACAAACAATATCTCGCCTGAATAACATTCTCTAAATCTTAGTGTTGCACTTTCAATGGAACAGTTAATACTCCCAAAAAAAATTTTATTTTTTCACCATTTTTTGTAAAATTTGTATAACTATGCATAACTATACTTTTATTTAATCAAAGCACTGTATGATAATTGATTTGCATCTTGTCAGTAACTTGTTGCTTATGTTCCAAACATATTACATCTGACTTTATGTGCTACTCATTTAAATTCAGATTTAACACACAATTGGGTTCTTGTATATACTTTCGTAGCAGTCTTGGGAGTTGCGAAACTTTCTAAAGTTCTTTATTCAAATATCTTGCACTTCTTAGCCCAAGTCAAGAATAAAAATCCAACAAACCAGGGCAACAGGATTCATTGTTTTTTTGTTTAATATACCAACGGCAATGAGAAGAGGGGAAAGCAAGGAATAAAAAAATTTACTGATATCAGAAAAAAATACTTTGGAAGATTTTTAGATAATGAAAAATAAATCTAAGAAAAGTTTTCGGCAAAAAAGCTTCCTCATAAAACAATGTCGAAAAGAAGTAAATAAATAACGTATTGTAAAAATTTGTTTGACGGAGTATGAAAAATGCCGTACTCCTTGAATACGTTGCAGATTTTAGTTGTAACAACTACAACAAAAATCTTGCAAGGCCCCATATTTGTAATCATCATGAATAACTCTTTAAACAAAAATGTTGAAAAAAAATTTTTTCTCCTTTTACTTCTAATATATACTGCTTGCGAGGACTAAGTTTATCGAGTTAAAAATCTCTTAAGACTTCATAAAGACTCTCATTTTACTTACAGCTTCCACCACCTTTTTTTTTCAACATTGAAAAATTTGGAAAATAGTGTCAAATTTGCTGACGGATGAATAGTGAGCGAATTTTGTCGAAAAATCCATTAAATGGAGATACTGGATTGCGGAATGCTAACGATGCTAGTTCCATTATCATCTCTCCAGGTTTGTTTCGAAACTATTCTCCCAAACATTAAAATATCATGATGTGATTTTGCATTTATCTATGAAAAATTACGGTTGTAGACTTGCTGCAAGACCACTAAGTTCTTGCGGCAAACGATGATCCAAAAAAAAATTCTATACTCGATGCAATTTTTGATATTTTTAAAGAAAATGAGTAAAAAGTAAATTAAGGTGCAGTGGGCAGCTTTTCATCGCGGTGTTCATTTCTAAACCAAAAATATTCGAATTGGTTGGGAAAATGCATTTTGCTTTTCTTGATGCTGGCAGTGTTTATTTTTGGCTTACTTTTGGCGTTTTTGGTAGGGCATTGGGTTGCCAAGTCGAATAGTCCAGATCAATTGGTATGGTTTGTCACATTGATCAATTCATATCTATTGAATTCATATTTGTTTGAAACCAAGACTAGCTTATTTTCGTATAAGAAAACTTCTGTAACGATCCTATAAATTTATCAGAATTTGAACTACTTTTCTCTGATTTCTACAACTTTAAACTTTTTGCTTCGTCCCCGCAAAATCAATATTTTTTATTGTCTTAAGCTAATTCGCCATATGTAAATATTTAGCCGTATGTAAAATATATTTCATTTTGATTATACTTTGTACAGAATTCATAATAACAGTAAGTTCAAGCATTAACCCAGCGATTAGCACTTCTAAAGTTAATTTGATATTATTTCTATTGAACACTTTATCTAATTTAAAATTATTCATTATCAGAAATAACATTGCAATTACACGACGGACATAACCGAGCATTAATCTTTCAAAAAAGGCTGAGAATTACTAGTCGTCCAAATATTTACTTTAGTTTCACTGCTAATTAAGCTACCATTCATTATAAAGTTAGATCTGGAACGTGAGTAATGTTCGAAGAAATTAAAATATATTTTTATAGACATTGTACAAAACTTGCGGGAAATATTTTCCATACTTGTATTATCGAATTTGAAATTTGGATAATAAATAAATGTTAGGAAGTGGAAAAAGAAGTGGTGGTGAAGAATATTACGTTGTTGGGTGTATATCCACCTACATCAAATTTAATTCCTCCAAAGGCATTTCATTCTTCTATGAGTCCTGCGACAATCCAAAAATATCGAGAAGTTCCTTTGGCACGATTACCCAGAACACTTCGACCTGAACATTATGATCTACAGGTACCTCATTTTACTCCTTTGTTAAAGCTTTAACTATGTCACATCATGGAAAACGAGAGTAGCTTCAATCTTAAACCATTACACATTGAGATGAATGAGCATAAATAGGTATGAAGTAAAAATAACTATTTTGCATTAATATACTTTTACAATGTATTTTTTTAAAGAGAAGTATTGCAATATCTTTTAACTACTATATTCACATATTCCATTTAATAAAATAAAAATTTAAATCTCTCACTCCTAAATGTTAAACTCTTCAATACTGAATAGCAAAAAATTTTGGAATGATTCTTTCTAAGCAATTCCAGCAAGTCATAATATAAAGTCTAATACATTTTTATTCAGCTGGACTTTACGAAGGTGATTTCAAAAGAACAAATTTTCGGCAATGTATCGATACTTCTTGAATCATACGGTAATTCTACAACACCCCATGAAGTTGCCTTTCATGCGGCGGCGAATGTATATATCGGCAGAGTACTCTTACGTTATCGAGGTTTAATCTTGACCAAAGCCTAGTTTTGACGAAAGCCAATTTGCAAATTGTCGCTTATCTTCTGCTGCACGATTTTGAGCAGAAAATACTTAGTTTCTTGCACTGGTGTTTCCTAATAAAGAGAGATCCGATCGTTTATTGCAATCTTTCATTTCATTTGCTTTAACTTACCATAACTTTTCAGGAAAAGATGTTGGCATAAAGACATTCAAACGAGAGCAACGTGCCAGGATAATTCGACTCTTGCTCGAACAACCTTTGAAACATGGATGGTTCGTTTTTATAATGATGTCAATATTATAACTAAAAGAGTATGTAAGGATGTGAGACAAGTTTTTCTGAGAAAGGGAGCGAAACTCCAACATTATTAGGTTCATGATAATATGATAAGATTGATTATAAATCGTTTTAATCGTTTTATAATGATCGCACTGCCAGAACACTGCAGGTATGCACTCGAAATGGAATTTGTTACAAAAATTTGCGAGGACACCAATGGAGGAGTACAATGTTATCGGGGTATAGGAAATGTAAGGAGTATTTGCATAATGCTAATATTTTTTTAAACTTACTTTTCTATTCTTTTCTTGGAACAACGATATACGGCGGTATACATATCTACCAAAATACAAAATAATTATGTAATAATATATCCGTCCATCATGCTTTTCTTTTAGAATTCTTGATGAATGTCTATTTATTTTTTCATTATTTCAAATACTACTTGAAATATATGAGTTTGCAGGTGCAACACTGAATATTTCAGAATGATAATCCATCACCAAGGAATCAGCATTTACCAATAATCAGTTTTACCACAAAATTTCAGCCATCATTGGCTAGAACTTTTTTTCCATGTTGGGATGAACCGAACTGGAAGGTATCATGTTCATACAATTAGAGTTAAACGGCAATAATTTTTTGCAAAACATTCAAAAATGCTTACATCTGAAGTATTCCATTGACAAAAAAATTAGTACAGTTTAGTGAATTTGGTAAAAACAATGATCACTTTATGAATGCATAATAAAACAGTAGTGATGTATTTCACATATTGTTGTGAAATTCTAAAGAGAGTAAAGGCTTCAGAAGGTACTCACAATTACGTTATCCGATCTCCAGCATCCTGTGATCACGCCTTGGAAGTATAACATTAGGAGTAATAATATCCATTATAAATCGTAGACAGCTTTTTTAATTAATATATCTTTTTAAGGCAACATACAACATCACCATACTACACTCAAGTTCGATCACGGTTTTAACAAATGCAGCACCACTTCACTTCACTCAAAAGCAACGACTCTCTTTTGTTCGTACAAAATTCCGAGAAACACCACCAATCCCGGCATTTTTACTCGCATTTGCATTTGGTTCCATTTGAATTGCACATTTCCAAATAGTTAGCTAGACAGCATCAATCCTTCGTTTAAATTCCGGTTCAAATATTTTAAAAAATTAAATGGAATTTATACGCAAAAAACTAAAATTGCCCTAAACTATTCAAGCAAACATTGCAATAAATATGAACATTTGAGGTCCGTACAACAGCTTGGAAAGGAGTACCGGATGTGATGTATTACTTACTATATGGGCATTTCCCGAAGATCTCATCTATGCCAAATTTGCTGCAAATTTTTCTCCTTACATGTTCGACCAACTTGCAAAAGAGTTTGTTGTAAGTTCTGGCAGAAGATTTCATGTAAATTTTGGCACTTCATGTATTAGATTGCAAAATCAGCCTGAGACACAAAACTTCTTATGTTGTGAAGTACCAATTATTTGAATAATTTTGACAGATAGGCGAGAGAATGCTTGTAAGTAAAATGAAAGCAATGAATAGAAATAAATCAAATTGGACTAGCTGAATTGATTTGAAGTGAATTGAAATGATTTCTGCTGCGAAAAGTTTATGATTTCGACTAATTATCATATTAACTTTTGCTGATTAAGATGTTTATATCTGCGCAAAACCTTTGATGTGTTTTACTTTCAGATACCGTATCCTCTCTCAAAAATCGACTTTGTAGCTGCTCATTCATTTCCAGTTAACGGTATTGAAAATTGGGGACTAGTTGTATTCCAGAAGGAAATGTTCTTACTAGATTCATTGCTCGAAAGTGAATTTTCAAAAAATTATAGAAAATTGTTCTCAACATTGCATTAAAACATGTATTTCACTTCAAATTCAAGATAATTTTCATTTTGAATAACTGATATTTGATAATTATTGTTGAGATAATGCGAATATGTCAGTGGATTTATTGGCTGAACAGTATGATATCGAAAAAGTCATTACTCATGAACTTGTCCATCAATGGTAAATGTTTAAGATCACATTGATCATCTTTTTTAAATGTTTTAAGAAATAGATGGAGTGATTTTAATTTGCTGATATCATCAGGTTTGGAAATTTGGTTACAATAAATGATTGGTCTGAGTTGTGGTTAAGTGAAGGATTTACGTCGTATTATGTAAGTGATTTTCTGAAAAAACAACGTCCAATTCTGGCCACTAACGAATATTTCCTTCGTCTTTCTCAACTACTGTCAAAACAGGTAATTTTCAATTCTATTTCACTTTTCTTTCCAATTTTCTTACATTTCACTGTGTTCCATTGCTTAAATGAATTATTGCAGACGTCAAATGAGAAGGTGCCGCTAGTAAAACGTTTTAGAACGGAAGCGGAGGTAGAAAATGCTTTCAATCCATACCATTTGTATACAAAAGGAGCTGTTATTGTTAAGATGATGCGCGATTTGGTCGGCGAGAATAACTTCCGTGAAGGTGTCAGGAGGTAAGCGTGCGTGTGTTTTAAAAAATTGCATGCACTTTGGAAATGTATATAATACTATAATGCAGTACTATTTATCGATTGTAAATCTAGCGAAATTTTTTACTGTTATTTAGATTTTTGAAAACAAACGCCTACAAAAGCATTGGGCGGTCAGCACTATGGAAGGCAATGCCAGCTTACACTGATCATGGTTTGGAAAACAAGAAACTTGAAAATGTTATTGAACCTTGGCTTCTTAACGATGGTATGCCTGAGGTGATGGTAAGGTGAGTAGATAGAACTTGGAGACAATCATTTGTTAATTAGTCTTTCAGAAGCTGTAAAAATTTTAGAACCATCTTTCCTGTACTTTTAGACTATTCGTCGTCTAGTTTCTCTAATTCCTCGTGAATTGTTCTTACGAAGTTCAACAATGGTTCAAAAGCGTTTATAGTGCAATTCTTAAAATGATCGAATCTTATTTTTTTTCCTTCAATTTAGAATACTGCATGTTGTTAACTTCAAGTGCATTTATCTGTTTGTAGTCAAAATAGTTAATTATATCAAACTTACTTCCATGATTATTGAAAGCGATGTTCAAATTTCCTCTTTTTGTATCGTTTTTTTTTTTTTTTACTTGAAATATTTCGTATGTTTTTTGAATTAAATGTGATTTAAGTCGAAACTACGACTATGGCACTATACGTCTTATTCCGAGACCATCTGATCAAAATCGTTATGTTATTTATTTACAAGGTGGTAGCACAAGGGGTCATAGTACAGCGAATTCAAAAGAATCTATTAAAAAAGTAAGAGCAAAGAAATGGACGGATAAAGTTTCCATGAAGTCAAGAATGAAGTATCGCAGAACAGGTGATTTTTTAATTTTTTTTTTAATCCATTTCATTCACTAACTTTCGCGATTTTGTATAATAAAGTAGCACATCTCTGAAATAAGCAGAAAGACTTAATTTTGAATCAGTTTTCGTTGCAAAAATTCTTGTAGGTAGATCGGAAGAAGCTGAAGTTACAAGCAATAAAGAAACATCATCATCATCATCATCATCATTATCTTTTTACGTTGAATTTATGAGTAAACAACGAAGTTTTAAGAATGTGAGAATCAATTCGACGAAGCAAGGAGCTAAACACAAGCAAATAGTTAGTTTCTTTCGAGATCTGTAGTTTTCGTGAAGTCGGATTTCGTAATTGCTGTAAGCTAAAGTTTTTTGAACAAAAAAATTTTTTTAAAAATCAGATCGG